GTCTTCAAATCCGCGACTTTGTGGGGACGCTGCCGTGCGCAATTGGCTGCCGCGTTTCGCCCACAAAATACACAGCCGATTCACTTTACAGCGTGTCCTGCGAAGCGCTTTGAGGCGTCTCGAAGATATGATGAGGCGCTACATCAAATACAGGGATTAATGTTGATTATCTGGTTAGAAGTTAGCCACAAGCAAGCAGTAAGGAGAATTACTGTCCTGCCTATTGTCTCCTCTGTCTCCTCTCCTATCCCCTGTAACCCAGGCCTTGCCTAGTCTGTCCACCTCTCTGATCTCCTTTCCTCTCCACACTCCTATTTGAGCCTGCACTACCCTGCCCTCTCCGAGCAGAGATACAGAGGCAGGTACGAGACAGCAGCATTCACCCAATCATGTGTTTATACAATGCCATTTGCGTTTAAAGAGTAATACTAATAAACCTTGCATTTGATATAGCGCCTTATTAACTTGTTGAGACAACTAGCATTTATGTAGCGCCCCGTCATGCAGGGTAGCGTCCCAGATCGCTTGACAGTAGCGGATCACGACTCCAAGCCAGGGGGAGGGAGGTGGCCATGTTCGTGGTCGAAGAGGAAGTGGTCGGGCACAACCTGAAGATGGGGAAGGAGGGGGCAAGGCGGAGCGAAGCGATAGAGGGAGAGTGTTCTAGAGATTCGGGGCATAATGGCTGAAAGTGCGGCCACTGATGGTGGAACGGAGGGCACGAGGGACAGGCAGGAGGCCGGAGCCAGCCTGGCGGAGGCAACGGGGAATGAAGTGGGGAGTGAGCAGGTCGAAGAGCTAGGGAGGTGCTCGGGAGAAAAGGGATTTGAAGACGAGTGCGAGAGGCTCTTGAAACGAAATATAATGGTATTTTACATGAAAGGTGTTAAATGAATGCATGTTGTTGTTGGATGGGTTCATGTCATTTGTCCAAAGGCAGGTGAGAATGTGACTTCACTTTGTTCCCCCCCACCCAGTCCGCAAAAGGAGCATGATCTGCCGAGCTTTTCCGCTGCTCGTCCAGCTGGGACCACCCTACCTATTAGGGCTTTGGCTTACAGGGTTAACAGGAGCTGAGTGGGAGTAAGTCTCTTCATAGAGGTAATATAACCGAGTGGGAGGATTCCCTGTCCCCAGTGACTGGTCGGCCTTTCCAGGTCCTGCTGATGGGCTGGGCTGCAACCAACAGTGAGGGCCCTGGAATACTGTGGACCCTCCTGGCTCAGGAACCTGGCTAGAGACCGTCATAGAGCGGGGGGGGCGCGGGCGCGGGCTCGATTCCGAAAGGTACGTCACCTTGGAGCCAATTCAGCTTCGAGGAGACCCCGCTTACCTCCCACCCCCCACTCCGGCCTCCCCCACCCCCTAAGACTGATAGTCGGTCACTAGTTGGTCGTTCGACATCCGACAAGCTCGAGTCCGTCGCCCACACTGACATGTCAGACAGATAATTACAGGCCAATCTCCTGCTAATCGAGCCATCTGTCACCGCTGAAGAGTATTGATTGCCTGGCTCTCCAGCCCGCTGACAGTTTATGTGCCTCACTGTCATTACTGCATAAGATCGAGTGTCAGACAGGCATCAGGTGCCCAGGCCCTTGGCAGATGCTGTCTTGTTTGATCAGGGTGGGGGGAGGGGGGTTGGGGGAAGAGGGAGGGGGGGTGTGGGCAAAAGGGGAGGGGGATGGGACTGAGGTAGGGTGAGAATTTGACTCGTTCCAGTCCTTAATTACCTGCTGCGTAAAATAATTGCTTCCTTGTGTGCGCTCTTCAAATGGCAACTTCACACCCCTGAACCTGTGGCCATGGGGTCAGGAATATCATGGCCATGGGAAACATGGGAAGAGGACCTTGACCTAGGAACCCTGTGAACTTCCTGCTCAATTCCCTCCCCCAAGGCTCTCCATTCCCTTCTCCCAGCCTTTGGAACCCTCCCCCGGAGGAGTCATTGGGTTAGCGCTCTCGCCTCGCAAGCGAGAGAACCCGGGTTCAATTCCCGAGCAGGGCGAAACCTTAGTCTCCTTACTCCACACACGCCTCTGTTTAACTAGTAGTAAGTGGGAACCCCGTTGTTAATTGATTCGCGGATCATTTTCCAGGGGGTAATAATTGCTCCCCCAAAAAATAATATTTCGGTCACTGAATCCACGACTGTTTGTGGGACAATTGCTGTGCGCAATTGGCTGCCGCGTTTCACCCACAACATACACAAGTCAATCCACTTTACAGTATATCCTGTGAAGCACTTGATATCGCGTCTTTGAGACGCCTCAAAGACATAAGACGCTATATCAAATGCAAGGATTATTAGTTTTATTACTCTCCATTCCCTTCCCCCAGACCGCTTAATCTTCCTTCCTGGTAGTCCGTTCCAGTCATTATTTACCCTCCGCATAAAATAATTGCTTCCTTATGTTTGTTCTTCCATTTTTGCCCTTCACACTCCTGGACCTGTGCCCACTTATATCTGAGAATATTTCTCAATAACATGTTATATTACTTCTACGAAGTCTCTTTTCAAGACCAAAGTGCCCTGCCATATCCGTATATATTCCTCATAGCTCATCCATGTCACTGGGGGCAGGGAATTCTCCCACTCAGCTTCCATTGACCCTGCAAGCCAAAGCCCCAACGGATAAGGTGGTCCTAGCTGGACAAGCAGCGGGAAAGCTTGCCAGACAGCGATATCAATGTGGTTTTAGCCGGTTAGATTCCAGCATTTACCCTCAACGTACACTCCGGAATCTGTAGGTGGAAGGCATGGAAATCTCAGTTTGGATTGGAGTCTCATAAGCACGGTGATGGGTTTCCGCATGGGTCAGACACCCGGCTGACCAACACAAAAATCACTGGACTGTACAGATCAACAATAATATCTGGGGATATTAACGCAACTGAATTTGTTCTGGTATTGTGCACCATTGGATGGCGCTCTATCTCTCACCGGCTCACTCTACTGCTGATGTTCCCATCGGCTCGCATCTGGAGTCCTGCAGGCACTGTATCAAATGTATTATTGCTGTTGCACAAGCTGGAATGTGTGTTAGTCTCTGGTGGACATTCAAGTACATCGCCCTCTGTCGTCAATTAAGCGCTCCGAGACCCTGCCCCACATGAACGGCGGGCGCTGTGCGAATCCCCACTGTTTGTGGAGGATCTGCAGGTGATGATACTCAACTGGATTACCTGCAGAATCTAAGAGGGTAATAAAAATGGCAATCCTTGCCCTTGACACCTGTGTCATCGTTGAGACGTCTCAAAGCGCTTCACAGGATACGCGGTGAAGAGTAGTGATTTGTGTATTTTGTGGGCGAAACGCGGCAGCCCATTGCTCACAGCAGCGTCCCGCAAACAGTCGTGGATTGAGTGACCAAATAATTATAATCTTTTTTAAGGGATTGTTACCCCCGGAAAGCGATCGGCCAATCGACTAACAACCGGGTCCCCACTTACCGCTGGGGAAACACAGGCGTGTGCGTGTGTGCGTGTGTGTGTGGACTAAGGAAACTGGCCTCAGCCTTCGCCCTGCCGGAAATCGAATAGAGATGCTTTGCGATTGCTAACTTTCCTCTAACTCTCTCTATCGCTCCCTCGCTCAGATCTGGCCCGGGTCCAGTGAGGAAGAGCTTTATCCTGGCCCAGGATGGAGCAAGCCCACAGAAACCCTGGCCCCGGGCTGACGGCCTGACCTCGGTGATGCTCGTGGACCCTTGGCAAGCAAAGGGGATGTGCAGTCGGTAGCTCCTCAATCTGCAGGCTGGTCGAGGGGTGGAAATCGCTTAATCGCAGGACGGTAAGTTACGGATTTTATTGCCAAAGGCTTTCTGATCCCAGTGACTGTTCCGACCCATCACCGGCTCATGAATTAGATAAGACATCTGTTCGTGGGACACTGCCTTCGCGACGTCTCAAAGCGCTTCAGCGAATATACGGTGGAGTGGGGCGACTGCGGAGTTTGTGGGCCAAAACGCGGCAGCCAATTCCGCACAGCAGTCGTGGATTGAAATAGTAACAGCAATAATCCTCGCGTTTGACACGGCGCCCTTTTACCACACGTCGTCGAGACGTCTCAAAAGCGCTTCGCAGGACCCACCGCGTCTGCGTTGGGGGTTCGGTTCGAGTTCGGAGTCCTCGCTTTCTTGCGCGCGAGAGATTCTTTTTACAACTTAAAAGAACATTTTTATCTTCTATTCTCTACAGTGGTGGGGGGGGGGGGGGGAATGAGAAAAAAAATGTCTCTTTTGATGTGCAAACACACACACACACCCCTTTCCTTGGATGTTGAGAGCTTTTCACAGTATCTCCTCTCAGCTGAAATCGATCCGTTTCTATCTCATCTCTCTCTCTCTGTGTGTGTGTGTGTGTGTATTTGTCTGTCTCCCCACAACACAACAGCCACTTCTGAAGATGTGATCACACACACACACACAGGAGAGAGAGAGAGAGAGACGCCCTCTGTGTTTCCTCCAAAGCGATAGCACACAGGCAAAATAAGTCGAGACTATCTCACTCACTCTTTCTCAACCACAAACCACTTCACTCTACTGGGAGACACAGACAGAGAGAGAGAGAGAGAGAGACAGACACACACACACACACACACACAGACAGACACAGAGACAGACAGACACAGAGAGAAAGAGAGAGACAGACAGACACACAGAGAGAGAGACAGACACACACACAGAGACAGAGACACACACACAGAGACAGACAGACAGAGAGAGAGAGAGACAGACACACACACACACAGAGACAGACAGACACACAGAGAGAGAGAGGAGAAACAGACACACACACACACAGAGACAGACAGACACACACACACAGAGACAGACAGACAGACAGACAGAGAGAGAGAGGGAGCCCAGCCATCCAAACCAATTACCTGGGCTCAAACATGTCAGACAGACAGAGAACACCTTCCTAAAGGGATCGAGCAGAAAGAACAAACTTGTGGGGATTAACCTGAGCGAAAGGGAATGACTGAAGAAAGCAACTTGCAAGGTTTGCACACACACACAGACACAGACACACGCCCTCTGCTCAACCAGACACCGACACCACCACAGCCAGAGACCGATCTCTTTAAAAGCCACTCAGGTGAGCCCAAATACTTAGCAAATGCACATATTTTTTTTGGGTGCCTATCCATTGAGGCATTTGCTGTGTGAGTGTGAGTGTGTGTGTGTGTGTGTGACTTGTTGGCTGATGCTCCTACTGCTTGGATTTATTTTTTTGGAGCTGTTAAAAGCTTTTTTTCCCCCCCCCCCTTCTGTGTGTAAAAAAAACTGTGTGAGTTTCTAACCTATTTCGAGGTGTCTTTTGTATGGGTTGATAACCTGGGGGTTGTAGAGAGAGAGGGAGGGAGGGAGGGAGGAAGGGGGAGAGAAAGAGAAAGAATGAGAAGAGAGATAAAGAAAGAATGAGAGAGAGAGAGAGAGTGAAATAATTCTGACTTCACAAGTTTCCAAACTCCTGCTATTTGCAGTTTGCAAACTCACTTTTGCCCCAGGGATGGCTGTGGAATTATTTAAGTTGCTTTAAGTCATATTTCCACCCTTCCCTACCCAGTCACACCCCCCCCCCCATCCTCTCTCTCTTATACCCCCATTTCTTTCTCATTCCCCCACTTTCTCTCTCTCTATCCCTCTCTCGCTCCATCCCCTTCTCTCCCTTCCCTTCTCTCTATATAGACATCTGTCTCTTTCTCTCCCCCCTCTCTATTCCCCTCATCCCCCCTCTCTATCCTCCCCCTCTCTATCCTCCCCCCCTCTCCCTCTCTCTATCCCCTTACCCCCAAATATTTATGCCCTTGTGGTCAGATCAGTTTGAAGTTTGGGGAAAAATGTGGGGGGAGAGGAGGCGAATCATATATTTTATTTATGTCCCTGTAACAGTCTGCACTTGAGGGGTCAGTATCCCCTCTCTCGCCCCCCCGTTCCTTGTTTTTTCCCCCTTACAATAAACTTTTCATTGAGAGCAGAAGTTGGTCACAAACAAAAAGTGGAGAGAGAGAGAGGGAGAGAGATAAGAGAACGAGTTACTCCCCAATTAAAACACCTCCCCAACCCCCTCTTTCCCTCTTCACCTCCTCTCTCATCCCCTCTCCTCTCTCTATTCCCCTTTTCTCTCTCTCTCTTCCCCTCCTCTTGCTCTCCTTTCCCCTTTTTTTTCTCTCTCTCTCTCTCTCTCCCACCTCTCTCTCTCTCTCTCCCCCTTCTCTGCCTCTCTCTCTCTCTTCCCCTCCTCTCCCTCTCTCAAAAAAGAAACGCAACGTTTTGGGTTGGAAAGAGGCAGATTTGACTTTTCTGTCTGAACAGTGGGTGTGTGGATTGAATAAAAGGGGAGAAAGGGGGGGTGGGAGGGAGAGAGAGAGAGAGACTGAACAGGAAGCATAAACAGCTCTCTCTCTCTCTCTCTCTGTGATATGTGGGCAGTTGGATTTGCTATAGTACTGACATGTGTGGACTTTAACCCACGAAGTTTGCACAAGTCTCTTTTTTCCCCCCATATCACATCCCCACAACAACTTGTGTTCGCACGGCACCCTCCGCGCGGGGTCTCATAGCAGAGTGCTTGACAGCGGTGGAGCACGATGCCCAAGAGGAAGGGGCAAGGAGGCGGGGTGGTGGCGGCGGTGGCGGCGGCGGTGGTGGTGGGGGGGGTTGAGGGCGAATGTTACAGAGATTCGGGGCGTAGCGGCTGAAAGTGCGGTCGCCGACGGTGGAGGGCGAGGGATATGCAGGAGCAAGACAGCTTTAGTCTTGTTGTTTTTTTTAAAAAAATACCTTTTTAAAACGCACGGGTTTCGCCCACGACACACACACACACACACACACACAGTCATTCCACTTTACAATACATTCCGTGAGGCGTCCCTTGAGACGTCTCGACGACCTGCTCTCGCCAACCCGCGCCTGATACTTTCTGGAATTGGGTAAGCGGGATGGGTCCTTCCAGGGAAAGAGAGAAGAGAGAGAGAGAGAGAGAGAGAGAGAGAGAGAGGTCGAGAGAGAGAGAGAGAGAGCTCATTCCATTCCAACAATCTATCTCTGGGATTTCCATGTGTAGGTCGGATGCTTGGAATTCTCAGTTTAATTTGGAGACTCTAACGCAACGGTGAAGGGTCTCCGCATGTGTCGGACACCCGGCTGACCCCCAAAAAAACACACAGCAGTCGTTCCTTCAAAGTACCTGCGGGAAACCCAGCTTCGAAATTGGAAGCACCTTTTTTTTCCCCCCAGGTTGAAGGACAAGGGTACAAGTCACCGGTGGGAGACGTTGCACCCGGGTTCTAGATTGATTCCAGTCTGGGGTCTGGATCGACGTTTCAGAGGATTCAGACTTTAGTGAATTGTTGAATTCAGTCTGGACTGCGCAGCTGATTTTCTACAGTCCTGAAAAGTGACTTTATGGGACTAAACGACTTCATAACTGAAAGCTGTGCACAAGGAATCGAAGTGGGATTGATTTAGAACCAGGTAGATTATGGGTTTCGCCCACTAAAAACATACCGTCAATTCATTTTACAGTGTATCCTGCAAAGCGCTTTGAGGCGTCTCGAAGATGTGATAAGGTGCCGTGTCAAACACAAGGATTATTATTATTATTATTGCCAACTGCATCCACAGAGGCAGATCTCCATCTTGTTACACCATCTCTATCTGGGAATGGTCCTTAGACAGAGATCAGGATGGCGAAATCCGGGCTGAATTTTCCCGGGAGCGCTGAGTAAAGCCAATTATAGCCCCCCGGGTGCAATCAATTAGGTGGTCAGCCTGGTTCAGTTGGTAGCACTCTCGCCTCTGATTCAGAAGATTGCGGGTTAAAGCCATAGATCGGGACTTTGAGCTCTCAGTCTAAGCTGACGCTCGGTGTTAGGGGAATACTGTGTTGTTGGAGACGCTGTCCTTTGGATCAGACAGGAACCTGGTCCTGCTCCCTGTGCCTCAACACCTGAGACACAAACAGCTGTGGATTGAGTGACCGAACTATTATTTATTGATGTATTTATTTGAAAGGATTATTATTCCTCCCCCGGAAAGCGATCCGTCAATCGACTAACAACCGGGTTCCTACTTGTGTGCGTGCGCGTGTGTGTGCGTGCGCGTGTTTGGAGTAAGGAAAGTTGCCGAAGGTTAAATTCCGACCAGGAATCGAACCCGGGTCCTCTCGCTTGCGAGGCGAGCGCTCCAAGCACTTCGCCTCAGGACTCCGCAGATTGACTGCACTCGTCTAGGTGCACGATAACGTTCTCGTGCCATTATTTGAGAAAGGGTCATGATGTCCCAGCCAGCAATCCTCCAGATAAATTCATTATTGCCTTTGTGTGCTAAGGGCTACGATTGATTAATGACTGAGCCACAGCTGCTAACCTGTGCTACAGATGCAAATGGACTCGGTTCTGTTACCGAGGTATGAAGCTAAAACAAATACGACAGACCACACAATCGAAAGCTCGGTCACCAATCTACTTAGTACGTCCGTTCTGAGAAGAAAAGATTAGCATTTTTATCGCATCTGATCACGACCAAACATCTCAAAGCCCTAAACAGGTAATTACTGTCGAATCCAGCGACGTTTTTGAAGGTAATTTGCAGCGGCAGTGTGCAAGCACCAGGTTCCTGCACACAGCCATGTGGTCAATGATTAATTTATCTGCACACTGGGATAAACTCCCTACCCCTTTCCAATTGGAGTCCTGTAGCTCAGAGGTTAGAGCTCTCGCCTCGCAAGCGAAAGGACCCTGGTTTGATTCCCAGACAGGGCAAAACCTCAGGCAAGTTTCCTCACTCCACACACAGCCGATTGGCGGATCACTTTTCCAGGGGTAATGATCCCTTCCTAAAAAAAAAATGTGGTCACTTGTGGGGACGCTGCTGTGAGCAATTGGCTGCCGAGTTTCGCCCACAAAATACACAGTCAATTCACACTACAGTATATCCTGTGAAGTGCTTTGAGACGTCTCGAAGGAGTGATAAGGCGCCGTATCAAATACAACTGAATCGTGGGCTGATTCAAAGCTTAACTAAAGCCAGCGGGAGCAGGAGAATCTGGGAGCTGCTTGAATCCTGGCTTCGGATGAGTTGTTGACGGGGAATATTCATTCCCGTTGGAAGCATTTCTGTTCTCTTCAGTGAGACAGATGTCTTCGGGTTTACTGACTGGATGGCGGTGCAGGACGGAATAATAGCAATATTATTCACGGCTGTAAAGGCATGTTAAGGCGCTGTATCGAAAGCAAGGACTTTCAAAGCGCTCCGCAGGATTTTCTGCAAAGAGGAGTGACTGTGCATTTTGCGGGCGTAGGGCAGCAACCAATTACGCACAGGTGTCTCACAAGAGTCGTGGATTGCGTGACCAAATAATATTTTTTTAAAAGGGATAATTGCCCTTGGAAAACCGATCCGCCAATCGACTAACAGAGTTCCTACTTACTGCGAGGTAAACAGAGGTGTGGAGTAAGGAAACTTGCCCAAAGTTTCGCCCTGCCTGCCCGGGAATCGAACCCGGTTGCTCTCGCTTGCGGGGCGAGTGCTCTAAGCCATAAGCCATAAGACTCCTTGCATTTGATACAGTGCCTTCGAGACGTCTCAAAGCCCTTCGCAGGATTATACTGTAAATCGGAGTGACCCCGCGTATTTTATGGGCGAAACGCGGCAGCCAGTTTGATGTCCCACAAACAGCGATGGAGCAAATTGTCAGCCTGGACAGACACCAGGTGTCCAACAGCACCGAGGGACCTTTAACATCCACCTGCACCGGCTCAGACGGAGAGTGAGATTTTATGTCTCATCCAAAGGACTGCAATTGGCTTTTCCAGCAAAGGAATATAACTTGTTTGCTCCCCTCTCTCATATCCCACACCCCATAAAAAAACGTAACTTGGAGGTTGCATTCGACAGCTATGACTCAGGCACCTGGTTACCTTAGTGCGGTTACCGAAATAATAATAATATAATTATAATAATCCTTGCTTTCGTTATAGTGTCTTACCACATCGTCGAGACGTCTCAAAGCGCTTCGCAGGATATATTGTACAGGGAATTGACTGTATATTTTGTGGGTGAAACGCGGCAGCCAATTGCGCACAGCAGCGTCCCACAAACAAACTCAATCGAGTGGCCGCATTATTATTTCTTTGAAGAGATTATTATTACCCCTGGAAAAGCGATACGCCAATCGACTAACGACCGGGTTCCTACTTACTGCTGTAAACAGAGGTGTGTGTGTGGAGTGAGGAAACTTGCCTAAGGTTTCGTCCTGTCCAGGAATCAAACCTGGGTCCTCTCGCTCGCGAGGCAAGCGCTCTAACCCCTACGCCACAGGACTCCATAATCGAGCGAGTAAGGAGAGATGATTTCCACTGGTCAGCGAGTCAGTATCGAGAGGGAAATCGATTTAAGATAGACGACTAACAACTACACTCCACTGAAACGACGGGATTCTGGAGCAGGGAGGGAAGCTGTGAGCCGCGGATGCCGAGCTCGAGAAGCAATCACACGGAGCTGCTTTGCGTTACAGCCAGATCCGGGGGAAGTGGCGCGAGAGAGAGAGAGAGAGAGAGAGCGCGCGAGCGGCCACTTGTTTTCGTTCTCGTTCCTTGACGTTCTCCAGAGAACCTCGGGAGGACTCGAAGCAGGGGATTGGCTCCTGCTTGAACGAACGCAACGCGCGCGAGGGGATAAAGATTGTTTATAGCTGATCGATTCCCCAGGCACTGTGCAGAGCTGTGCGGAATCGGGCCGTGCCAGGAATGTTAAGCAGAGGGTGGCCCTGGATGTAAATCTTATTGCGTGGCACACGGCCACACACATTCCAGGTTAATGCCAGCACCGAGCTTTGCTACGTCAAGATCAGCTGGAGACGCAGCGAATGTAATAACAATAATAATCCTCGCCTTTGATACAGCGCCTCATCCCGTCTTCGAGACGTCTCAAAGCGCTTCACGGGATACGCCGTAAAGTCAGTTGATCGCGTAGTTCATCATTTCGCTAAACTCTCCCAAGAGCTTCTACGTGTCCGGTGCAGTGACTGTGTATCAGTCAGTTCAGTGTAGTGACTGTGTATTGGTGGGGAGCAAGTCCTTTGCAATGTTACAAGGGGAGTTCTGTGGCTCAGTGGTTAGAGAGCACTCGCCTCGCGGGTGAGAGGACCAGGTTCGGAGGGCGAAATGTTAGACAACTGTCCTTACTCCACACTCCTCTGTTTACCGGCAGTACGTAGGAACCCGGTTGTTAGTCGATTGGCGGATTGCTTTCCTGGGGGTTAATAATCCCTTCACATTTTTTAAAAAAAAATACTAATGTGACCACTCAATCCACGACTGGATGTGTGGGACGCTGCTGTGTGCAATTGGCTGCCATTTCTCGCCCACAAAAAAACACCCGCCCGCTTTACTTTGAGATGTCTGAACGATGTCATAAGGCGTTATATCAAATAACATAACGTAAGAAATGCAAGACGAGAAAAGGCCACGGTCCATCGAGTTCACCTTCCACTTTCCTGCACATATGTCCCAAACTATCTATGTCCAAGTTCAAGGATTATTATTATAACGGCACTGACGGTGTGTGTGTGTGTGTGTGTGTGTGCGCTGTGTCCGGTTACCTACATATGCTTCGTTTTGTTTTGATTCATTCTGCTAAGGTGACATCCCCAGAATAGTGCTGGATTGATTGTCAGCCTTCAGATGGGAAGGTACTTCCAACGTTCGTTACAGAACCCGATGACAATTTTAATAATAATAATTCTCGCATTTGACTCAGCGCCTTATCAGGTCTTCCAGACGCCTCGAAGCGCTTCACAGGATACACCGCGAAGTGCAGTGGCTGTGTAATTTGGCAAAATACTGAAAAGGTGAAAGCAGTTTCTCTTTTCCTCACATTCTTGGCCAACAATCCTTCAGTTTGTCATTCACCCAGTGGCTGCGCACAAGTTGGCTGCGGTGTTTGCCTATGAATACAATCACTGCACTTGATAGCAATTGTGGAATCCTGTAGCTCAGTGGTTAGAGCTCTCGCCTCGCAAGCGAGAGGACCCGGGCAGGTCAGGTCGGGGCGAAACCTTAGGCATGTTTCCTTACTCCGCACGTACGCGCACACACACACACACACACACACATGCCTCTGTTTGCCCAGCAGTAAGTAGGAATTCACTTTCCAGCATAATCTGTGAAGCGCTTTGAGACGTCTCGAAGATGTGATAAGGCGCCGTATCAAATACAAGGAGTATGACTGTTATATTGAGCTCACAGTCTGAGAGAGAGAGTGCACATTCCAGTTTGGTTTGGAGACTCTTTTAAGCACGGTGATGGGTTTCCGCATGCGTCAGACACCCGGCTCACCCCCTAAAAATCCAGCCGATTCTCCAGATGATAATAATAATAATCCTTGCGTTTCATACAGCGTCTTTGAGACGTCTCAAAGCGCTTCACAGAATATACTGTAAAGTGGAGTGATTGTGTGTTTTGTGGGCGAAAACCAATCCCCAGAGGATCGAATTCAAGATCCTCATCCTCACCTACAAGGCCATTCCCGGCCTCGCTCCCTCCTACTGTCCCCCTACCTACCTGCCCGTACCCTCCGTTCCTCTGGCTCCGGTCTGCTCCACATCCCCCGCCCCAACCGCCCTACCATCGGTGGCCTTCAGCCTCTCAGCCCCGAGGCTCTGGAACTCTATCCCCAGTGCCTTCGCCGCTTCCTCCCTTTCCTCCTTCAAGGCCGGTCTCAAGTCCTTTCTCTTTGACCTTCAGCCTTCAGCTCTCGACTCTCTACCCCCTCCTCGCTCCCTCCCTTCCCTCCCCTCACCCTGACCATTTCCCCCCAATGCTCGGGTCCCGACCCAACTGTACAGCGCCCTGGGACGTCCTCCCGACGTGAAAGGCGCTCTATAAATGGAATCTTGTTGTCGTTGTTGTTGAAACAGGCACTTGTTGGCTTTATAGCCATTGGTGGGAACGTTGTTGCGTGTGTATAATTTAACTGCCAGGTTTGCCTACAAAAACACAACACTTGTTATAATTACATTGCGAAGCACTTTCAAACGTTCCACTGTTTCAAGCAGGGTCGTACAAAATCCCCCCCCCCCCTCCCACACACACCCCCCCCCCCAGCCATGACTTTAGAGACGCGAGTAAACAAGACGTTATAGAAAAAAAGGAAATGAAATTCTCGTCTCCTCTTTGACGGACACGAAGGCGAGGAAGCAATCTTGGATTTATACGTTGGCTGTAGTTGGGAGCATTTGACCCAATTTTGAGCGCCTCGTTATATATATAGAGGGCATCATGTCATAGCACTACATGTGTGTGTGTATAAAGCACTGACTGTGTGTGTATGTATGTGTGTGTTTAAAATAGCACTGACTGTGTAACAACTTGCGTTTATATAGCTCCCCTCACACAGGGTAGCGTCTCAGAGTGGTTAACAGCACCGACCGCGTGTATAATTGCACAGTGAGTATGAACACGTATATAATGATTATAATCCTTGCATTTGATGAAGCGCCTGATCACGTATTTGAGGCGTCTCAAAGGGCTTCACAGGACGCACTGTAAAGTGGAGTGACTGCGTATTTGGTGGAAGAAACATAATACATTTGATTTGCATCTCCTGGACAGTTTGGGACTCCGAGACATGGTAACCCGAAGGCTACATAACACCCACAGCCCTCCGCGCAGCGATCCGGGTTCGATTCCCAGCCGGGTCAAGGGAAATTTCCTTACTCCGACACGCACGCCTCTGCTTACCCGGCAATAGGTATCCAGTAAGGATCCACAAGGGTGCGATGTCAGTGCAAGCCGTGTTGCTGCTGTTGTGTAGTGACTGGGTGGTGGCGGGCGAAAGACGCAGAGGCCGTTTGGGTTGCCCGAAGCAGGAAATTCCCGACGACAAAGTGGCCCCAAACTGAGAGGGGATTCAAAACCCCTTTGAAAAATGTTAATAACGTTTTTTTAAAAAATAACGTCGGTCGCTCGATCCACCAGTGTGTGTGTGTGTGTGGGTGTCTGTGTGGGGGGGGGGGACGTCGCCGGGCGCCATTGGCTGCCGCGTTGCGCCCACAAAAGACACAGTCACTCCGCTTTGCAGTGTATCCTGCGAAGCGCTTTGAGACGTCCCGAAGGCGGGATGGGGCTTATTATGGTGATGTACATTGTCCGAACCCGCAGTCACGGCTGTCGTGGGGAGATATTGTAGGCAGCACTGCCACCCAGTGGAGCTCAGGCTGCCTTTAATCAACCGAGGACAATAACTCTTTCCTATCAGGGATTTGCACCTCATGTGTCTTCCGAGAAGGCATCACTGGGGCAGAGGGGGGGGGGGGTGTGGGGAAGGGGAAGGGGGGAAACAAACACACACACGCGCGCACACACACGTGCGCCTCCGTTTACCCGCAGTAGGTTGTTAGTCGACTGGTGGATCGCTTTTCCGGGGGTAATAATCCCGTCAGAAAAAAAGAAATAGAATCAATAATAATAATAATAATATTAATGTGGTCGCATCAACCCGCCGCTGTTTGTGGGGACGCTGCTGTGCGCAATTGGCTGCCGCTTTTCGCCCACACGACACGCGGTCAATTCGCTTTGCGGCGCATCCTGTCGAGCGCTTTGAGACGTCTCGCAGACGTGATCGGGCGCTGCACCAAATGCCAGGATTATTATTATCAATGATAGTAATTATTAAGCGTTAACACTGCTCTCCTCCCCCCCCCCCCTCCCCGCCTCCCCCACGCAGGTTGCCGCAGTCCGTAGAGTAATGATCATCCTCCTTTACGCCATGGCTGTTTCCTATTTCGGAGGCGTCGAGACCGCTCCTGTGAACCTCAGCGTGGCGATGCCAGGGCCCCAGGCCGAGCAGCGGGCAGCGGGCACCAACGACTCCCTGGGGAGCGACTTCCAGCACGTCAGCCCGGAGTCGTGGGAGAAGGAGTGGGATCTGTACTCTCCGCGGGTCATGTTAGCCTCCGAGCCGCCCGGGATTCCTCCGCTGCTCTTCATCATGGAAGCTTCGCTGAGCCAGGCCGAGGTGGCCAACAGGACAGAGCGGGCCAGGCGGCAGGCGGGGGGGGAGCAGGTCAAACCCACCCGCAGGGGCGAGCTCTCGGTCTGCGACAGCATCAACTTCTGGGTGACGGACAAGCGGACGGCTGTGGACATCAACGGGTGGGTGGTGTCGGTGCTGAACGAGGTGCCCACCTCCAAGGGACCCATGAAACAGTTCTTCTACGAGACAAAGTGCAACAACAACACCAGCACAGCCAGAAGCGGCTGCCGAGGGGTAGACAAGAGGCACTGGGTCTCCGAGTGCAAAACCAAACAGTCCTTTGTCCGGGCGCTGACTGTGGACCACAGGAAACAAGCGGGGTGGCGGTGGATAAGGATAGACACCGCGTGTGTCTGTGCCCTGAACAACAGAACTACAAGGACGTGACCCACATCCCTCCTCCCTCCCTCCCTCCCCCATCCCTCCCTCCGCTGTTTATCTATTCGCGTTGTAAATAGATATAAATATATAAATTATTTTGAGTTTTACGGTTTGCATGTACAGAATCATGACGTTTATACAATGAACTTATTTCGTATTTATTATCCCACTCTCCCCCCCCCACCACCCCACCCCTTCCCCCGAATTTACAGGGCTGCTGATGTTTGTATTAACTTATTGTATCGGAAAATATATTATTCTCTACTTAAGATGCTCTCCTAATGTACTGGGTTCCACGCCGAGGTATGAGAGGCGCACCTCACCCCCCTCCCCACCCAAACACACACACACACGCGCACGCACTGAGATACACACCACCTACACACAGATAATAATAATAACAGGAAAGAGTTAACAAATCGCAGTCAGTCACAGTTAAGAAGCAAATGCACGTTCCACCAACCCAGAACTCAACCAATTGGCCTAATGCAAGTGTTGCCCAATTGGATATTGCCTCGTGAGAGTTTAGCTCAGGGATTGCAATTGAGGGGGAAATGAACTCACCTGTTGGTTTGTGTGAGGTCAGGGGGAGGTGGGTGGGGGGGAGAAGAGTGGGGGTGCAATAGGTGGCAGGTGATGATGGTTCCGGTGTATAAAGTTTGCCGGGTGGGTGAGAGAGCCAGAGAGGTGATGGTGCAGTTGGGAAGAGATATGGCTGGCTGCTTAGTGATGATGGCTTGGCTGCTCTGCGCTGGAGGTGTTGGTGGCTCGAGGCTGTGGCCACGGTTGAACAAGGAGCAGTTTGAGTGGAGAAGCGGTAACGCAGTACCTCCCGGCGTTGTCAGGCACAAAGCTGGGGCGCTTGTGCACACTGTGCGGGTGCAGTGCTATGAGCCCAACCTGGTGGTGACTGTCAGCAGGGACTTGTTTGGTAGTGGCCACCGGGTGAGACCCTCACAGCTGATGCTGGGACCCACCGGCTGCCCATTGACCAGAGTGGATGATCCATCTGACAGCATCATCTTCAACATCTCACTGACTGACTGTGGGATTGAGAGAAAGGTAAGGGGTTCCTATAGCCTCGTATACCCTTACATATCAGCCACTGCCTTCCTATAGCTTCTTAACCTCTTAAATTACTAACCACCGGCTTCCTATAACTTCCTAAACTATTCATTGCTCGTCACTGCCTTCCTATAGCTTCTTAAAAGGATTGAGATAAAGGTAGGGGGTTCCTATAGCTTTTTTTTACCTCTTGAATGCGAGTCACTGTCTTGTTAACTCTGAAACTGATGTACTTTTTCACATTACACCAAATGACCAAATTTTCCCATCTAGAAAATACTGTATTAAAAGCTTCTAATGTCCACAGTCACTCCACTTTACAATATATTCCCGCGAACCACTTTTGAGACCTCTCAATATCGTGATCAGGTGCTACAGCAAGTCCCAAGTATTATCATGATTCATATTTATCATTAGTTCTGCCAATCCTTCGTTAGTGCAGGATGCAAACTTCTGGTTTACATTTTGTGGACGATTTATTTTCCTTTCCCCTCGATGTACATCGCTGTACACGATGACTTTGCCTGTGACGAATGCTGCATTAACTGAGCTGTTCGCCTCTCTTGCAGATGACTGACGAGGCTCTGATTTACAGCACCTACATCAACTACAAGCCTCAACTCACCACCAGACCCATCATCAGAACCAACAAAGTGACTGTCCCCATTGAGTGTCACTTTCCCAGGTAACAGGAGCCTTTTTCTTTTTCTCTCTCTCTCTCTCTCTATATATATATATGTATATTTGCTGATGAGATGTGGCAGGGCATTTTGATAAGGAATTGTCACTGCCAAAGGGGCGCTTTTATCCCGAAACATCCAGAAACATTCAACGCGGATGTCTGCAGGTGAAATAATACACCGTGTATTTGATAAGGAGTTAATACGAGAATGTTCCGCCTTCAAAGCCCTCTCCACGGCTTTGCCTCCTCCCTAACTGTGTGACCTGCTAACTTCACCTTGACCTCTCTGCCTAAACAGTGACCACTTGGCGACAAACGATGCAATGGCCATTAACTCTATAATATTATTATTATTATTATTATTATTCTGGTGAGACAGTTTACTGCTGGGGAAATCCTTAGGGGCTCGAAGGGATTTTCCTACCGCTTTATTTTTTTTAAAAAAAAGAAATACTGCCCCGAGATCTGTGTGTGGGTTAGTGACGCGTTCTTTGTCTCTCCACAGACGGGGTAATGTGAGCAGCAACGCCATCAAACCCACCTGGATCCCTTTCACCTCCACCAAGTGGGGAGAGGAGCATCTGTCCTTCTTGCTCCGCCTCATGAACGGTAACGGGTGACTGACCGAGTCGGGCTCCTGAGCCCGGGGCTGGAACTCGCCCTCTCTGTCCGCTCTCTCAGTGTCCTCCCTCCCGCCCTCCTCACTCCCCCTCCCCAATCCACACCCCCACCCCACACCGGCCAGCGCCTCCGCTCGATCAGCACCAACCTCCCCACGCGCCCTCCGCCCCCACCTTTGCGAGGCTTTGCGCTTATCACACTCTCCCTCAATCCCGCCGCCTCTCTATCCTTTTCCAAGTCCTGCCTGAAGACCTTCCTCGTTGACCGTGCTTATGGCCACAAACCCTCCCCCTCCCTCCCTGGCTCGGAGAAGTTGCCTGTGGAGGGCCCCGATGCAAGTGCAACTTGTTGTCGTCGTTTCAGATGACTGGAGTGCAGAGCGGGGCTCCAATGTCTACCACCTCGGGGATCTCATCCACATCCAGGCCTCGGTTTTGACCCAGAACCATATGCCGTTGAGGGTCTTCATCGAGCGCTGTGTGGCCACTCTGAGCCCAGACAAGGACTCCAAACCCAGCTATTCCATCGTTGACTTCAAAGGGTGAGTGAGTGACCGATCTCCCACACGTTTCGCCCACAAAACGCACAGTCACTACACTTTACAATATATCCTGCGAAGCGTTTTGAGACGTCGCTGTATCAAATGCAAGGGTTATTATTATTATTATTCGCCGACTCCAATTCTCTGCGCAGTTGCCTGATGGACAGCAAAGTGGACGATTCATTCTCCTCGTTCGTGACGCCGCGACTCGAGGAGGACGAGCTGCGGTTTAAACTGGATGCCTTCCGCTTCTTTGAGGATTCTCGAGACTCGGTGAGCGACACGAGGGCATTGGGCAGCGACTCGTAATGGCCGAGGCAGGGGAGAGGTTTGGAGTCGTGGAGCGTCGGGGTGAGAGCGCTCGTCTCGCAAGCTGGAGGCCCCCGGGTGTGCTTAATCCACACGCCTCCAGCAGTCAGTAGTCGATTGATCGCTTTTACGGGAGTAATAATCCGCACAAAAATAATAAAAATGTGGTCAATCAGTCACTCAATCCACGACTGTTTGCGGGACGCTCCTGTGTGTAATCGGCTCACAAGATATACAGTCCGTTCACTTCACAGCGTATCCTATGAAGCGCTTTGAGACGTCTCGAAGACGTGATAAGGCGCTGTATCGAATGCCAGGATTATTATTGGAAGGAGGGAAGGCATTGATCGGTCTGTTTTGTGTCTGCCAGATCTTTATTAAATGCGAGCTGAAAGCGGTGGCATTAGATGCGAAGCTCGATTCCAGCAACAAAGCTTGTTTCTTCGACAAACTACTCCAGCGGTGAGTGAAATAACTTCTAGACGGGGATAGACGACTTGTCCGCCTGGATTTTGCAGCCCAATTTCCTTGCGCCGATCTAATCCTCTTGCTCGCTTGTCTAGGAATCCCTTCACCCTACCTCTCTGGCCTGCTTTTCCCCCCCCGCAACTCCACTACCCGCTAGTCTGGCCTCCGTACTTGTCCCTCGTCCCCTCCGCCCCATCACTACGCCCTGAAATCTTGGAACACTCGCCCTCAAATCCCTCTCTCCGTCTCGGTGTCAGGCTCCGCCACCGTTGAGCGCTAATTGTGATGATGGTAAATGGGGGGGGGGGGAGGGGTTACAAATGGTTGCCCGCAATGCAATGACTTCTTTGTTGCAGGTGGAACGCAGTGGAAGGTACGAACGACTTGTGCAGCTGCTGCGATGCCCACCACTGCAACGATGAAAGAGCGAGGGGACATCTTTGGAACAGGAGAAAGAGGGCGTCTCAACCCGGAGCAGGTACTGATCGACCAACGACAGCAGCTCCCGCAGCGCCTTATCACCTCGTTGAGACGACGTCTCAAAGCGCTTCACAGAATAGGTTGGAAAGTCAATTATTTTATTTTTTTGCGGGGAGTGGGGGGGGGGGCAAAGGTGGCAGCCAATTGCGCACAGCAACGTCTCACAACCGGGTCGGGGGTTGAGTAACCTTAATTGTTTTTTTGAAGGGGTTATTACCACAGGTAAGTGACCCCCCCCCCCCCCCCCAATCGACTAAGAGCCGGGTTCCTATTTACTGGTGTGTTTGTATAGTTAGGAAGTAGCCTAAGGTTTTGCCCTGGAATCGAACCCAGGTCCACTCGCTTGGGAGGTGAGCTCTCTAACCCCTGAGCTACAGGGACACCTTGACCACACGAGGGGCTATAATCTGTTGCTCGGATATTTGCAGAGGTCGGTGCTGGTCTCCAGTGGGAAGGTGTGGTCAGTCTGAGGCCTATTGTGGTGCTGGACGTTGAGCTGCGAGACTTTGACCAGCTCATGGCGGTCGAACCCTCTGTTGGCAGTGGAAACAGCCGCTCATCATCTTCAGACAGTAAGTCAGTCTCTCTCTATGTCGGGCCGTTCAACCTTTTGGCCGCTGGGGTTTGAGAAAGGTCTGTGGGCCGTGTTACAAGCAATATTTTTATCCGGATTGGCCAGAGCCTGAGCCACCCGGCGACCACCTCCAGATTGGTTCTGTGGCCGGCCGGGTGGGTTTGGGGGTGTCACCTCTATTTGCTCGTTGGTCAGTGAAGTAGGAAATTGTTTGGTGAGCCGGAGGAAATTCCACCCCCACCCGGGGGGCCGGTTGCGGCCCACGGGCCACCAGTTGGTCCGCCCTCTGTTCTACACAACAGAAGCTGCCTGTCTGCCTCAACCGCTAACTCTTGGCTTCTCCTGTCCGTGCAGGTGGTGTGGCGATGGCCTTGGCTGGCTCGGTGGTGCTCGGAGCTCTGATTTGTGCAGCGCTGGTGACCTATTACCACCTGAACAGGAAGCACCTGTCAATCGCGCCGTGAAAAGCCCAGGAATATATTGTCTTAAATAAAATCCACAATGTTACTTGCAGCTCTTTTGTGTCTGTCTGTCTGCTTCACTATTGGCTTTAGAAAATAGCAGCGGGTAAGCTTGCCGGACGCTGATATCGATGGGCAAGCTGGGCGGTTTCGGCTCGTTAGAATAGCCTCGTCTGGGCTCAGAGTGGCCACACAGCCCTCGAGGAAGACCCTCAAAGACCTGTATGGTTCTGGGTCAAAACCGAGGGCTGGATGTGGATGAGATTTCCCAGAAGGGATTATTACCCCTGGAAGGCGATCTGCCAATGAACCTGGTTCCTCCTCACTGCTTGGTAAACTTGCCTAAGGTTTTGTCCTGCCCGGGAATCGAACCCGGGTCCTCTCGCTTGCGAGGTGAGGGCTCGAACCCCTACGGCTCCACCTTTTGGCAAACAGTCCCTCGCTCCCCTGAATGAAAGAAATCAAGACCATTTGAGGCAACGGACATGTGTTTTTTTTTTTACTTCTGTATCCCTTATTGATTGCATTGATACCTGCATAGACATTGACAATGAAACAATAGTCGAGAGTGAAGGAATAATGAACAAACAATGTGATCTAACGCGACTTTAGAAACAGAAACCGTTCTTGTAACGACATTTTTTTTTAAAAAAAAGACATCTCTCTCTCGTTCAGCTCTGGATTTGAAAGGAATGGGGCAACGTTCAACACGTTTCGCGTATCTAACTGTGATTGAAACCGATAATTCTGTTCGTCCCATTTCCTTCTAAACGGTACAGAGATTCACACCCACTGAAAACACTCGTGGAAGCGTAAACAGGAAGGAATTTGGGATGGGAGGAGGGACGAGAGGACGAGCATCAAACTGAGCTGAAGTTTCACAAAAAATAAAACAACCCCTGAAATGATTTCCCTCGGTCTGGGAATCCCAATTACACTTTTAAAACACAAATGACTTTTGAAGGACTTTCACTGTTTTTTTTCCGCCCCTCCACCCCAAGCAGTCGGCCCTCCAGAATAAGAGCTCGTCTCTCTCTCTCTCTCTCTCTCTCGGGGAGGTTTGAGCTGTAGGTAAAACATTGCAGCTATTTGGATCCTTGATGCTCACGTAATGGAGAGGGAAGGAGGGATGGGGGTGAGTAGAGAGAGAGAGAGCAGGGGGAGGGGGAAGAAGGAGAAAGAGTGTGTCTCTCATTCTTTCCAGCTGCGTTCAATCCTAACGCTCCAGAGTGCCCCAAGTTCCATCTAGTCTCAGCCCGTATAGCCTGTAAACACTTGAGGCCAAATTGTGGTAATGCTAAGCAAGAAACAGTGGAGAATTCCCAACTTCACTCAGATTTTGGTAAATTATAGTCTCAATCACACGTGCGTTGTTGCGCCAACTTAAAAAAAATAATTCGGTCTTAGCTGAAGAAGCCGACTTGGAAGTAAGAAATAGTTCTTTTACTTTGAAGATTTAAGAAGTATTTCCTTTTTAAAAGCGCGAGCAGCGGCTTTTTTTTTAGACAAAGTGGTCTTTAAAAACTCCAGTTGGTAAAATCGTGCTTCGGGTTCGCTCAAAAACCCTCTCTCCGCCGATTTAGGAGATATATCAGCATTAGAAAATGCTCCTGAGAAAGCCCAACACCTAAACAAAAGGCTGAATGTAAGTGCTGTCGTTGGAAATTCAGAACACGAATAGATAGTTAAGGAATCTTCCAGTAAAATATCTCTGGCCATCTGGTTGCACCTCTCAGCTTGCACGCAAAGTCAACGCAACCGAGACAAAGTGCTTAAGCAACAGCAAACGATGTATCTTAAACTAAGTGCTCTTAAACGATCGGTCGCACCTTCCCCAAATAATAATAATAATAATAATCCTTGCGTTTGTGGTAACCCATTTTGACATCGCAGGATGTCGAGTGGTTCGACCGTGAAGTGGGTGAAACGCAGCAGCCAATTAATTGTGCACACCACAAACGGCAGTGGATTGAGCGCTCCGCATTATTACTATTATTTTACGGGGAAGGGATTATTAACACCGGGAAAAGCGATGCAACAAATCCCCTGGCGATTTGAACTCTCATTTTGTGCCCTGGGGGACAGTCAAGTGGTTGGCTGTTTGGCTTCAGTTTAGTAACTACACAGGAATTAAAAGCCCTGAAACACATATATATATTTTTTTAGGGGGGGGGGGTGGAGAACTTTGGGGGGAAAAAGTCTGATAAAACAGGAATGCTCGCAATTACTGCACTTAGAAGCGCTTTGGTATATTGTTGTCTCCGACCCGTCACCTAAATCATTCGCAAATGAGCTTTGTCGTTGGCCTTAAAGGAACCCCGAAGCTCATTACGTCTCACATAGAACCTTCACATACAAATTCCTATCCAGATCTGTGGCTAATTCTTTCCTTTAATAATAATAATAATAGTAATAAAAATCCTTGCATTTGATGCAGCGACTGATCGCGTGGTCGCGACGTCTCAAAGCGCTACGCCTTAAAGTGGATCGAACGCGTATTTTTGTGGCTCGAACGCAGCCGCCAACGGCGCACATCAGCGTCCCCACAAACCGTTGTCGGCCGAAATTATCGTTATTATTATTACTATTATTGTCGGTGCATCACCTACGATTTTTAAAAAAAAACGCAAACGTATCACGATAATTATCTCTTCTCTTTTTTTTCTTAAAAATACGATTGTCACTTATTCTGTCTCAATGGCTTTGCTGGTGGCAGAGTTCTCGCCTGCCTCACGTATCAACAGGCCCAAGTCAAGAGGTTTAGCGTCTGGTTTCACTTTGACTGGTTCCCTTCTGAAGGGAGGATTCTCTCTCTCTCTCTCTCTCTCTCTCACTCTCTTCCCCATCCATCCTCCCTCCCAACAGCAAAGGTGTCGCCGGATTGTTAGTGTAATATATTACATACAAATATAGTATAAATAGCAATGGCGTAAATCTAACCTGCTCCTTCCAGCTAGTCAGGCACAGTTGGTTTGCCTCTGGTGAAGCACTCCCGAGCCTGCCTGCCGCCAAAGGACAGGATGGATTTGGTTTGCACTGCAATCGATTGAATCTGCCGCAGTGCAAACCGGATCTCATCCTGTCCTTTGATGTCGGGCTTGGGAGTCAAGGGGGTCTATCTTAAGAGCTAAGCAGAGGTGTGTAACACGCTACACATACACACACACGCACACACACGCACGCACGCACGCACGCACGCACGGTCTCACCGCAGTCCTCGTCCAATCTAACCGAATCGTATTAAAAAGTAGTGTGCAATGTATTGAGGAGATGTCCCACTTCTGCCCCCCCACACCCCCAAGAAATTGACACCAGAATTTTCCTTCAAGCCCTGGTGAACTTTGAAGGGGTGGGGCGGCGGGACGGGGCAGGGGGGTAAAGGAAGGAAGGAAGCGCGTTTCCATGGGACGACTGGGAAACAGCAGTCAGTCAGAATGACAGCGACCGTCTTGGCAGACGCTTAATGCACCGATTCGCCCGAAGGCCGGTTCGATGACACCGAAACTACTCACTTTGTATCTTGAAATAACTGCATTTTTAAGGCACCAACTTCAACAGTCGGGGCTTGAATTGAACCTCTTCCAACAAACAGGGTCAGGGCGGGGGAGAAGATAAAGGGGGGGAATTGTCGTTCCATTCCATACTATGCCCTCTGAAGAAAGACGACGGGAAACAGGGAGAGATTTGGATGAAGAAGGCCCTTCGGTTCTAGTTAACAACACACCTGCGTCTGTGCTAAGCTCTTTCGCGCTCGAAAAACAAATGGACGGCCTCAATTTGGACAACGTGTCTGCCCGCCTGTTCCCTTGGTTTGGTTTGGTTTGGTGGTGGGCCGTTACATTTTAGCCGAAGTGGCTTTGCACCAGGCGGCCTTTGCTTGTCCAGCACCCTGGGTCGTCCTGCCGGTGCGAGAGGCACCGCACAAGTGTAATCTGTCGCCGTCGTTGTGGTGACCACGAGCTCCATATAAAAAAAACAGATTGGAAACGGTCACGGGGTCGTGTCGCCATGTAAAACGCCCACCCCCACCACCCCCGGAAAACATCGGGCGGGGGAAGCGTCCAATGCAATGCGATATCCTTGCGTGCGTACGTGTGTGTGTGGGGGGGGGGGAGAGGGTAGGTAGGGGTAGCGAGAGAGAGAGAGAAAGGAAATTGTTTGATAGTCAGTGCTGAATCCAAGCCCCGTCTCTCCTCTATAAACACGCGCACACGCACGCACACACACACACACATATACACGCGTCAGAACTCACACTTTGCATTTCCGTCCCTTTGCATTGTTGTTGCATTTTTGCTCTCTCTCTCTCTCTCTCTCTCTCTCTCGCTTTTTTCCTTTTTAATTTAAAACCGGCCCCCACACACAAGCGCAAATCAATAAATATCAAAACGCTGACGAAACGAGACAGGAGAAAAACAGACAAACAAACAAAAAAAACCTAACAAAACAAGTGCGTTGGCACCTGAGGTCCTTCACACACGCGCGCTGGCGGGAACAAGCGAGACATTTTCATCGCCTCGTGTGCGTGCCGGACTTCCGAGTGCACTGTGTTTTCTTCTCCCCCTTCCCTCGGCTTCCGTGTCGGGCACATTCGTCGGAAGGACTACTTGTGGGACTTTTCATCCAGTTTGAAGAGAGCCAGGATGTCCATCAGTGCCTCCACAATGTGTTTCCCGAAACGATGAGCGTCCTTCACACGCACACACACACAGAAATAAAAAAAAATGTCAGCCGCGATCATAGAAACAGGAGGAGGCCATTCAGCCCCTCAAGCCTGTTTCACCATTTTATAAGATCATGGTTGATCTGTACCTCAAGTCCAATGACACCCCCCCCCCCCCCTTGCCCCTGACCTAACAAATATCTATCTACCTCCGTCCTGAAAATGTGAATGGATCCAGCCATAATCCACAGCCTTTTTTGGGGGGGGGGGGGGGGAGAGAATTCCAGATTCCCACTACCCTTTGGGTGAAAAACTGCCCCCGATTTCACTCCTAAATGGCCTGGCTCTAATTTTAAGATGTTGCCCCCCCCCCCACCTCCTTGTTCTGGATTACCCCCACCCACCGGAGGAAATAGTTTCTCTGTAGTTACCCTATCGAATCCCTTTATTATTTTAAATGGAGGTGGGTGGGGGAGGGCGGGGAGAGATAGGGTTACAATCAAACACATCACAGAGTCTTCCTCCCCCCCACCCCAAACCCCCTCCACCACAAAGGGAGGTAATTGGCACTATACCGTGTATTGACTGGAGACTTTGCAGGAGATGTGAAAATTGATGAGGTTTTCTCCCACGATGAAGTAGGAGACACCATAACCATCATCTGCCACCTAAATGGGAGAGAGAGAGAGCGAGAGAGAGGTCACTGGGATAAAAATAATAATAATAATACAATATAGAGTCTCAAAGCGCTTCACAGAATCTACTGTAATGTGGATTGACTTCTTTTTTATTTTGTGGGCGAAACCCGGCAGCCAATTGCACACCTCAGTGTCCCACAAACAGTCGTGGATTAAGTGACTAAATCGTTCATTTATTTATTCTCACTGTTACCCACTATCACAGGCTCCCGAAGCTCCTTGTTGGGTGGTGGGGGGGGAGTAGGAGACAGAGAGAGAGAGAGAGAGAGAGAGAGAGAGAAAGGGACATAGTTAACAGAAACCACACACAGAATGAAGATGCCACGTGGTCACTTACAGGGCCAAATCCACCTCCACAGGAGATGTATTCCGGATGGTTCAAGAGGTCAAACAGTTCAACCTGTTGTAACGGTGTCTGGCTCGTGGAGAGGCTCCAGGGCTCTGAAAGTACCTGCCAAAAGGAACGTTGCACTATAAATAATAACAATGATAATAATAATCCTTGCATCTTATATAGCGGATAATTTCATCCGTTCCTCCAACCATTCCCAACTTTGCCCTACGAGTAAATACAGGGGACACACAGGAAGGCCCCGAGTCAATCAGGAGGGGCGGTGGGAGCGTTGGGGTAGGATGTGCGGTCGAAGAGGAGAGTCTCGAGGCTCTCCTCTACACGGCGGCGTTGCTCTTACCTCCTGCAGGAATGGCGAGTGAACTCCCAGGTACTTGGAAACCACGTAGAGGCAGAAGAGATGTCGATCGATCCCGCACCCGGCCATGGAAAGGCGGCTTATGTGCTGGTGAGTTTTGGCAGCGAGGTGGAAGAGCTTCAGGCATTCGCTGGCCTGTGACGCGCCCGAGAGAATTATTTTTTTCCCAATGAGAAAGCATTTAAACAACAACAACAATTCAGAGTCATATAGCGTCCTTTATGCGGGTCGTGTCTCGGTGGGGGGTTTCACAGTGGCGGAGTCTGGCTCAGAGCCAGGCGGGAGAGGAAGGGAGGGATGGGGGAAGGTGACCGTAAGCACGGTCAAAAAGGAAGGTCTTTTAGGCGGGACTTGAAAGTGCGGAGGGAAGCAGGGGGCAAGGCGGGCGGGGGCGAGGGATTGAGGGAGAGAGTCCCAGGGCTTCGGGGCAGAGAGGCTGACAGCACAGTTAAAACAACTTATCAACAATAATCCTTCTTCCCAAAAACTCCTTGTTCTCCTCTCTCCTCCCCACCACACCCAACCCCCCCCAACCCCTCACCGATAAGTGGTCCTCCATGGCCCTGACGAAGTTGGAGGATTGGATGGTGCACGAGCGGACAGTCTCCGTCCTCCCCTCTCGGAACAGCCGAGTCATGGAGGATTCGTACGTCAGGCAGAATTTCCCTTTGTCCTGTAATAGCAGAGAAAATAACAATAATAATAATAACTCCTCGCATTTTATACAGCGCCTTATCACGTCGTCGAGACGTCTCAAAAGCGCTTCACAGAACATACAGGAAAAGTGATCTGACTGCATATTCTGTGCTAATACACGAATCTCAGGGAGCCTACGCCTCGGCTTACCCTGAAGTTGGCGAGCTGCAGGGCGAGCTGGATGAAGGCATCGGGGCTTGTGCGGCATTTCTTAATCAAACCTTTGCCGAACTTGGTGAAGGGGAAGGTGTGGAAATCCACATCGTTGGCCAGGGACTGCGCCACCTTCAGCGAACCCGAGATGACTTCCTGACACTGAAGGCGGTGAGAGGAAAAGAACATCAGCTTTTTAACACAGTTCACACAACCTTTACCAGGGCCCATTCACAAACAGCCGTGGAATTGAGTCACCAAATTATTATTTACTTATTGTTTTGAATGGGACTATATCCTTGCATATGATGTAGCGTCTTTCACATCAGGAGGAAGGCTCAAAGCGCTTCACTGGGTAGATTCACTGGGGGAAAGGCAGCCGACTTGAGCCCAGCAACATCCCACAAACACACATCAGGGGCAGAAACGACCCATTTCTTTTCCAAGAGTTGAACCAACAACAACTAATGACATTTACACGGCGTCTTTCGAAGTCAGGAGGACGTCCAAAGGGGCTGGACAGCCAGGGATCCGCACCTGAGCCGGTGGTTGGGATCAGGAGCGGTGGAGGACGGGGTGGGTAGATTGAAGAGGAGGGTCTTGAGACGGGTGTTGGAAGAGGCAGTGGAGGGGGTAAACTCACCACACAGTGAGCTGACTCACTCCAGCCGTCGGCTATAGCGCATTTAACGCAGCTTCTGTGCTGCACGTTTGCCTATCGATAGAGCGACAGCAGCGACAAAAAACAATACAGGTCTTACCGCCTCTGGGATGTCCCATTGAAGCCTCTGTGGGGACAGAACGGTGCTCTCCGCATCCCCTTTACAGTGGCCTTGGTCATTGTAGCCCAGCTGGAAGCTGTCTGTAGCCAACACGTACTGGAGGAGAACAATAGGCAAAAATGTGACGACGACTATTTATTCAGCTCCTTTCACACTGGGCAGTGTCTCGGAGCGCAGGTTGGGTTGGAGAGGAGCGGGAAAGATGGTGGAAAGCTCGGTCAAGGAGGGAGGTCTTAACTGGTCCACAATCCACCCAAGCACATAAGTTTGTAAGACTTTCAAAGAATAAAATTGATTCCATATGGTAGCTACAGAGGAACGATTTGCTCTGGTGGGTGGGGGAACCCAGAATCATCTTAAAATTAGAACTCAAGACACTTAAAGAGTGAAATCAGGAAGCATTTTTTCTCACACACAGACAAATGGTAGTGGAGCTCTCTTCCTCCCGCAAAAGGGCTGTGGATTATGGCTGGATCCATTCATCGTTTCAAGACTGAGGTGGACAGATTTCTGTTAGGTCAGGGTATCAAGGGATATGGGGCAAGGGCTGTTAATTGGACTTGAGGTACAGATCACCCACGTTCTTGTAGGATGGCAAGAACAGGCTCAAGGGGCTGAATGGCCTCCTCCTGTTTCTATGTTCAAAACAGCAGATGCCGGGTGGTGAATTGTGAAAATAATGTATTGATACGACTCTCGAAGCAGCGATATTCAAGGCCGGACTCCAAACGCTCTGATACACGAGTTGCACATCGAGATGGGAATTCATGCCCAGGTCAGAAGGGTATTTGGTTCGGCCACTGCCTGCTCCTACCCCCTTGGTGATCTGAAGGGGATCGTACATTACCTCCCAGAGGTGTCCTATGATGGGCGCATCAGCCCAGGAATGCTCGGCGTTCAACCCCACTTTGCCGTTCTCGAAGACGATCAAAGTGAACGACTTATCGAACCACCTGCGGGAGCGAAAACGGGGCAATGAAAGGAAGGTGACCGAAGGCGCTGTCGAAGATGAGGGCCTTGAAGGAGGCAAGGGAGAGACGGGGGGGGAGGGGGGGGAGCGAGGTGAAGGGACTATGGGATGGACTTCCACAGGGTGGTGGGGGGGTGGTCCGTCCGGCGATGGCAGGGGACGGGTAGCAAGTCAGAGTCCGCCGAGCGGAGGGACTGTTTGTGGGGGGGGGTTAGCAGGTCGCAGAGATAGCGAGGAGCAAGGCCGTGGAGGGCTTTGAAGGCCATGACAAAGATTTCGAACAGGGGGGCAAAAGGGGGGACGGGGAGCCAGTGGTGGAAACCACAACGCACCCGGGAGCGTAAAGAACCCCACAGCAACTTGCCTGTCGTAGCACTTGCCGTGCAGCAGTAACTTGGCGTAGGCGTCCAGTGATTTTACAGGGTCCTCGACCTGCAGCCCCGGTTTATCGCCGTCCAGAGTCAGGAAGAAAGCCGCCTTCTCCACGCAGTCCAGCGAGGACCTGTTCTTCCCGTTGCTGAAGAACGATTTCCGCGCCTTTCCCCAGGGAATTCTGCTCGGCACAAGGGCAGGTCAATCAGCGAGGCTCCTTGCAGGTGATGCAGCGCGCCCCCCCCCTCAACATCAAAACGCCCCTGCGACGCTTCACGGGGAATTGCAATAAGTGTGTGATAACACCCTTTGGAACTCCATCGCACAGTTCCCCACCACCACCACGGCCGCCTCGGTCCCCTCCCTCGCCTCCTTCAAGGCCTCCTCATCGACCAACCGCGCCCAGAGGGGGAGGCACTAGTCGAATGGGAAGCTCTTGAGGCACGACCTGAAGAGGGATAAGAGGATTTTATATAGCGTCCCGGAGCGCTCACGGAGATGGGGTGTGACGATTCTCACCTGTTTCCTGCAGTGAGCGCAGCGAGGTGCTCCTCGCCGGGCTGAGGGAGAGAGGTGTCGGCGAGAATGCGCTGGAACTGAACCTCCAGCTCGCGAGGCCTGAGAAGCCGGCCGCCTTGATACACCCACACCTTGAAGTAACGGCCCTTGTGATACACCACGATGTGCTTGCTGTCCGTCTGGTGCTGCAAGTGGTCTGCAAAGCCCACACAGGTCGACCGGTCAACACAGGCCTACGCTAACGTTACCGGCTTTAGACTAGAATACAGTTCACACGAACACGAGCTTCGAAAGGAAACCGAGCGAGCGAGCGAGCGAGCAAGCGAAGGCTGGCTGTTCCTTGGGAGTTAGGCTACTGATCACCCGGGATCTAATAGAGTGTCGGAACAAGCTCCAGGGGCTGAATGGCCTCCTCCTGTGCCTGTGTGCTGAGGGGGGGGGGGGGGGGGCTATTTGTTATCCTGTAGAAAGGATGTACCTGACAAATCACCGCAAAGTGCCTGAGAAGAAACAGCTCACGGGTACTGCAGAATCCTGCCATCTCAGGGGTAATCCTTGCTACTACCACAAGATGGCTGTCTCTGGACTCTAATATTATAATAATCTTTGCATTTGATACGGCGCCTTATCACGTCGTCGAGACGTCTCAAAGCGCTTCACGGGATACACAGTAAAGCGAATCGACTGTGTACTTGGTGCTGAAATCTGGCAGCCAATTGCGCCCAGCAACGTCCCCCGCAAACAGCTGTGGGACCCGCACACAGCCGTGGATTGATTGACCGAATTGTTATTATTTTGGGGGGAGAGATTACCCCGAGAAAAGCGACCTACCGATCGACTAACAACAGAGTTCCTCGTTACCGCTGGCTAAACAGAGGCATGGGCGCGTGCGTGTGTGGAATAAGGAAACTTGCCCGGGAATCGAACCCAGGTCCTCTCGCTTGCGAGGCGAGTGCTCTAACCAATGAGCTACAGAACTCTCATGGCAGGCCATGAGCCAAGTCTCCAGCCACCTTTTGCCCATCTGCTTGCTGCCAAAGCTCAGCAGCAGCCCAGCGCACAGGAAAAATGATCCGCAAACAAAGAACTCACACCGTACCTGTGTCTACGTCTGGGACGCGAGTGGTATTGAATATATTCTCAAATTGGTTAGAGCACATGGGGACAACGGCTTGAATCAAGAGCTGGAGAAGACAGGCAGAGAGAGAGAGAGAGAGGAAAAAAAAAGAGGAAAGAGTAACGCACAGACATGCAAAAAGGAACGGCAGGCATATTCATAATACACAGCAGAGAGAGCCAGAGAGAGCGAGCGAGCGAGCGAGAGAGAGAGAGAGAGAGCGAGAGAGACGGTAACTCGGTAGTCTTCCGACCCAGGGTTAGCGGGATTTAACACATCCCGACTCAAGTCGATCGAGATGCTCGGGAACGTGGGCGGAAAGTGGAACGGTTACCTACCCCCCCCCCCCCCGTGGGCTGGTGTGAGTGGAATCCTGGTGAGGCACTGAGGGAGGAAACCATAACACGACCCACCCCACCCGCTTCCGCCAAGCTTGAAGCTTCTCCTCGAGCCAAACGTTGACTCGCTCTCCCCTCTCCCTGACCTGCTGAGTGTTCCCGGCCAGGTCTGTGTTTTACATCAGACTTCCGGCATCTGCAGTATTTTGCCTTTAGCTTTTCCCAGGACGGTGGAGCTACATATATAACCCGTTTGTCTTTGCTTTTGCAAGCAAATCCCCTTCAGCCACCTCCAACCCATAGCGGCTGAGGACCCATCCTTCGCTCTGTTCCATCCTTACCCTATCTACACTACCCCCTTCTCCTGAGCTACCCTCTTGCTTGCCCCTGTGCTCAATTAACCACCCTCTCTGCGCCACAAACAATGCCTTCACTTCCTAACCCCCATCGCTTGCTGTCTGCTTTTAAGTCAAATCCTACCTCTTCAAACGTGTCTACAGCCACCTCCCAATTCCCCACCTCCACCGCCCCCCCCCCAAATCTTGGCGGCCTTGTTAAGCGTACCGAGACGTGACGAGCGCTATGTAAATGTTAAGTGGTTGTTGTTCGTTGCCTCTCAAAAAGTGCCCCGGTTAAAGCACGTGGGGTGTTCCAAGTTCCTGCGTTTACGACCCAACAAGTGGGAGAAATGCAATGGAAAAGGAACCCGAGCTGGAGATTTGCGTTAACAATTACACTGCACAGCGCATTAGTGAGTACAAGAGGATAATATCAAACACAGGAGGGATGCCCTTCAATGGCCCCTACACCAGGTTAGCAGGACAGACGTGGATCAACTCAGAGACGTAAAGCTACGACTGTTCAACATTGACTTGCTTGCGAAGGTAGAAATGGGAGGAAAACGAGAGAAAGGCACTTCAGGTTATCTCCCCAAACGAGGGCGCTCAGATCCGCGGTAGAAGAAAGCTTTCAGTCGGCTATGTTTTTTTTTAAATTAAAAAAGATATAAATAAAATTAAAAAAGCAGGAGGCGAGAGAAAGAGAGAGAGAGAGAGAGGGGGGGGGAGCTGGTGGGGACAGTTCCCACGGGGCTGCGGAGAAGATTGGTTGCAATACGCCGCTGTGGGGATAAGCGAGTGTCAAAGCTTAAGCAACCCAGACATGCCACACGACGCAAGATTCAAACAGCCGCCCTCCAACACCGTGAGCGAGGGAGAAATCTAAACAAACCCCCCTCCGTGTGAATGGCTTCAAGGACATCATTTTTGTTAGGTAAAGGCATCGAGGGATATTGATAGCAGCATCACCATCAATAACCCTTGCAGCGGCTTATCACGCCTTCGAGACGTCTCGAAGCGCTTGGCAGCGTATTCTGCGAAGTGACTGTGTATGTGGTGGGCGGCGGCAGCCAATTGCGCACAGCAGTGTCCCGCAGATAGTCGTGGATTGAGTGACCAAATTATTCTTTTTATGAAGGGAGTATTACCCCCCCCACCGCCACCACCCCGGACAATCGACTAACAAGGGGATCCCTACTGACTGCTGGGTATACAGAGGCGCGCGTGCGTGTGAGGAGAGTAAGGAAACTTGCTTATGGTTTTGCCCTGCCCGGGAATCGAACCCAGGTCCTCTCTTACTACAGAACTGCACGTGGGTGACGGATGGGGAGGGGGAGTCTGTCTTGGGGAGAGAGGGAGGGAGGGGGGCAGGAGCTGCTAGGGTGGAGGAGGGAGCTGCCCTGTACGAGCTGTGAGCTTCCCTCTGCTTTGCCACTCGCACAACCGCACTCCCCCCACACTATAGGAGCGTGGCTACAGGCTCCTCGTCACTCCGACGTGTCTCTTCCTCGAAGGGTCAAGTGTTTAGTAAGGCAGCTGTCAAACCTCGGGTCACGTGGCATATAGGAGCAGCAATTTCCCCGGACGGACAAGTGTGCTGTCTTACCTGTCTCCTGCCCTGGCGTCCGAGTTGAGTTGAACATTCTTTCCCACTGTGAGGAGCACAGAGGTACTGGCAACCCTGGCAGTGTACTCTACACCCAAATCAGGTTGCGTTGGGTGAGAGAGAGAGGGGGAGAGAGAAAGAGCGGTGTGCGTGTGTGTGCACACATGTGTGTATGTGTGTGTGTGTGTGTGTGTGTGTGAATGAGAATCATGCGCGACCCAAAAGAAATAGGGTCAAGAGGGTTGCAAGGGAATTGAGAAGGTGTAGGTTGGATTCGAGAGGAGAAAAAAAAAATGTAAGAAAAATTAAGAATTAGTTGATCCTCAATTTTTTCGCAACAACAACAACCAAACCTTTTTTATCCCCCCCCTCCCCCCCCCAAAAAAAAATCACGTCTAACTGATAATAAAGATTTTTTTTCTCGAGAGAATAATACCCCCCTGGAAAGCGATCCACCGATCGAATAACAACCGAGGAGCGCGGAGTAAGGCTTCTCCCCGTCCGGGAATCGAACCCTGGTCTCTAATAACAGTGTTTAAAAAGGGGGGAAATTGGGCAACAGTCGGGTAACAAATTATTCTTTTTATGAAGGGATTATTACCAACCCCCCCCCACCCCCCCGGACAATCGACTAACAGTTGATGAGGAAAAATAAAATGAACAAAGTGCCTTTTGCTCGCTAAAAAAGGGGTCGCAGTAGAAGGGTTCCTAAATGTACACTCCTGCAAGTTTCCTGTCCTCCATGATAGCACACACTCTCTCTCGTTCCCTCCCTCTGCACCCCCATTCCTCCCCCACACAAGACAGCCAGGCCACAAGTCTGCTATAATGCCAGTTACTTGATCTCTTTTACGGCCCCCCCCCCCCCCACCCTCCACCTCGAGATGACACTTTCACTCTTTGGCTGCAGCACAAGTCAAGGGTGCCCTAAAATTTATAATAATCCTTACATTCAATATGGGGTCTTTCACATCAGTGGGACGCCTCAACGCGGGCGCTTCGCAGGGTTTACTGTGAAGTGTAGTGACTGTGTGTTTTGCAAGCCGACCCAGCAGCCAATTTGCGCAAAAAAAAGCTATGACGGATTTTATCTCGGGAATCGTAGGCTGAGACAGGAGAGAGAGAGAGGGGGAGAGAGAAAGAAAGACAGAGAGAGAGAGAAAAACTCCCTTCTCTTTTCGAGTAGCACAACAGTATGTTTTTAATGTCCACCTGAACAGGCAGACGGGCATTCGGTATAGAGCCTTCACACGTCTTCGAGACGTCTCAAAGCGCTTCACAGAAGATGCTGTGAAGTGAAGCCACTGTGTGCAGTTTGTGGGTGAAAAGCGGCTGCCGATTGCGCACAGCAGTGACCAAATTATTAATTGTTTTAAAAAAAACGTATTCAACGACTCATCCGAAGGGCATTCAACGATGCGGCTTTTCCCCTAGCACTGCGCTGATGTGTCAGCGTAGATGACACCGGTTTCACTTGACCCCACAACCGTCCGATTTAGGAGGCGAAAACGCTACCGACTGAGCCGAGCCGACTCTCAAATTGGGATACTAAACAGAGCACGTTTCCAGTTGGCGTTAAGAAATACTCCCAAGTTCCCGCACTGACTCGCTCCCAAATCATTCTGCTGCCTATTTCAAGCAATTTTCCTTGTGGGCGAAACACGGCAGCCACTCGCGTCCCACAGCAGTGTTCCAAACCAGATTGAGCGATCAAATTATTATTTTTCTGAGGAATTATTACCCCCGGAAAAGCGATCCACCAATCGACTAACTACCGGATTCCTACTTACTGCTGTGTAAACAGATTTAACACCACAGACTGTACACACAGTCTCCCCCTGGCCCACCGCCCCACTCCTCCCCTCGATCCGGTCTCAAAAAAGGACTACATGTTAACAGAAAAGTATGAACCGAACAGTTTCTGCAACTCTCCTTCCACACGACTGCAAACTAAAGCTTGCGACACTCTGTCCTACTGAAGGTTTACAAGTTAATATTTCACAGGTTTTTTTTTATATATAACCCAGAACATTCTCAGAGAAATGTAGGGATTGTCCAATGTTCAAAATGGTAAACACGCTCACGGGGTCAGAGTGAGCCAGAGCACTGTGTGCGTGCGGTGTGTTCATTCTATGTGGTATTCACATTATCCTTCTGCTTTTACTTCACCCTCTCACCCGCCCCAACCACCTTCTGCTCTTCCTTCTCCATCAACCCTTTCTCACTCTCTCCCCCCCCACTCACCCCAACACACACTACAGTAGCAATCCTGAGTAACAAGGCACAAGTTATTCCCGCTCAGGAACCTCTCCTGTCGCTGTGTGAGTGAGAATAAGTGACTGAATGAGTGAGTGCGGGAGTTAGTGAGCGAGAGAGTGTGTGAACAAACTAACTTGTGGATTATTCCCTGCAGTTACTGCGAAGTGCCAGCACTTACCGGTTTGATTTCCTCTCGGGTGAGCTTACGCCTGTACAGCAGGAGAGCGTGGGTCAGATTCCCGGCCCGGGCGGCCTGAATTGGAGTCGGGGTCACGTACAAGAAGTCCTGAAAGGGAGTGCAGCAGCAAGTCACTCACTCACTCACGGTTACCCGCTGTCCTGCCAGGTGGCATTCCAACAGTAAGGGAAGCAGCGACAGCATGGCTTGCTCACAGGGGAGTTCTGACACGAGCTGAAGCTTCCCTTACCCCAGAGGATATGCCGAAACTGTATAGCTTCTGGGCGAAACGTGGCAGCCGATTGCGCACAGCAGTGTCCCCGCAAACAGTCGTAGGTTGAGTGACTAAATTATTATCATTATTTAGACTGTGGTGGATAGATGTTTGCTAGGTCAGGGTATCAAGGGATGATGGGGCTAAGGCGGGTGATTGGGAGCTGAGATACAGATCAGCCATGATCTAATAGAATGGCGGAACAGACTCGAGGGGCTGAATGGCCTCCTCCTGTTCCTTTGTTCAGGTGGGACGGTGGAGGAATTCTCCTTGTTTTACCAGCTCCCTCACCATGGCATAATAGTTGCTGTTGACCATGATCGGCTCCCGCCCTCGCAGATAGACGTATTCTTCCCACCAGTCGCTCACCTGGAACAGGAAGAGAGACACACCTTAAACAACCGCACTCCCATGTCTCTGCCAGCCCGATACCTTACTTAAATCAGCAGGCCAGCAAGTGTGTCAATAATAATAATAATAATTATAATAATCCTTGCATTTGATACAGAGTCTTGTCACGGCGTTGAAACGACTCAAAGCGCTTCACTGGAAAACACTGTAAAGTGGAGTGACTGTGTGCTTTTGAGTGCTAAAGCAGTCGGACCTTGTTTGTAGTGCAGTGGTCCACTCTCTCGCATACGTGCACACACTTTCTCTCATTCTGTCCTTTACACACACACACACACTGGGATACAAGAAGCACAGCATACTGTAAAGTGACTATATTTTCTGAAACATATTGGGGGAAATCATCATTATTATTTATTTAATCCTGCTGTCACATGCACCATTGACTTCTTAGTTGTATAGTATTGCCTCCACGACCTTTAATAAGTATAAAATACAAAAAGGCAAAGTGCAAGACTCTGATCAACCTTACACATTAGTCATGATCCTTTATCACTCAGCCAGGAGTTTTATTTAAGACAGTATCTAATCTGACACTCTGAACGGTCATTAAAATCTTCTTTTGAGCTATTGAACTCTTTCCATTGAATACAGCGTACCCAATGGTCTTGTTCAGAAAACTTCTATCTACAGATTTACAGGGTACGGTTGCAATTTACATTACTTTTCTGCTTCCGTACAGATCAGAAATTCAACAGAAAAGGTAATTATTAGTTGGTAGAGCTATTAGTTGAGGCCTTAGCTTTCAGTGTCAGAGAGAAAGACAGAGAGAGAAAGAGAGACAAAGAAGGGGGGAAGAAAAGAGAGAGTGTGTGGGGTTTTAAGTGTTAGTGAGACATCTGCATTTGATATAGCGCCGTACCAAGTTGCTGAAAGTGCTTCACGTAATATACTGCGAAGTGTAGTGACTGTATATTTTGGGGGCGAAACCCGGCAGCGTCCCACAAACAGTCGTGGATTGAATGACCACTTTATTATATTTTTTTTGAAGGGATTGTTACCCCTGGAAAAGTGACCCGCCAATCGTCGAACAGCCTCCTTACTGCTGGGTAAACAGAGGCTCGCAGAGTAAGGAAACTTGGCTAACTTTTCGCCCTGCCTGGGAATCGAACCAAGGTCCTCTCGCTTGCGAGGCGAGCACTCTAAACCACTACGTTATACGGCTCCACAAAGGACTCACCGCAATGAGTGGTAAACGTGCATTTGTTTTGTTGTTAAAAAGGCAAGAGTGTCAGCAGCTTCGGCAGACGGGAAGCGAAGGAAAATATAACCTAAAGATTCGCTGTGCAGCGAGCTGAGCGCAGCGACAGGTAACTCACGTAGTTGGTAGCCCACCACGACTTCAGCTTCAGGTACCACTGCAACCGGGGGCCTAGTTTCACCTCAAAGTCCTTGGCCAGGGCTTCCATTCGGTGGAATTCCTCGTCGTTCATCAGGGGCCTCACCGATTCCAAATACTAGAACATCCACAACAACCAGAAGATTAACACAAGTCCCAAAAGCACTGAGCTCCGCCAGTTATTAAGCCACGAGATGGGAGGGCTTCATCCAACATAATGCTTCTTGAGACTTACTGTGACGCTTTGGGACGTTTCGAAGACATGATAATAATAATCCTTGCGTTTGATATAGAGCCTTACCACGTCTTCGTTTGACTGTGTATATTGTGGGCCAAACGGGGCAGCCAATTGCATGCAGCAAACATTCGTGGATTGAGTCACTAAGTTATTATTATTATTATTACGATTTGATGTAGTGATAAGGAGCTATATCAATGCAAGGACTATTATTAATAGGCAATCACTCCACTTAACACTGTGTATTTTGTGGGCAAAACACCGCAGCCAATTTTCAGTGAGAGAGAGAGACAACTTCTGGCACAATCTAGATCACAGCCTAAAACAGACTGGCTCATGTCGTCTCACTTCTCAAACGTCACCCAAATATTGTAGCCTCCACTTACCCTCTGCATGGTGTCTTGGATGGTAGGGACGGGAAGTCGAGGGAGAGAGGCCTGGAAGCTGTACAGCATGGGTTTACGCCCTGAAAAGATCTTCACCATAGTCTGTGATTCAAATACAACACATCAGTTACCCAAAACAGAGAGGAGACAGAAATAATTATAATAATAATCCCTGCATTCGATACAGCGCCTTATCACTTCGTCGAGATGTCTGAAAGCTCTTCACAGAATATACTGCAAAGCGAATTGACTGTATATTTTGTGGGCGAAACGCGGCAGCCAATTACACACAGCAATTTGGATGATTGTTGACTAGGACACCGGGAGAGAAAGAGAGAGAGAGAGAGAGAGAAACTCCCTTCTTTTTTTTGAATAGCACTGCAGGATCTTTAACGTCAGAGGCAGGGGCTGGAGGTCGAGCAGATATTTCAGCACTTACAAACCAGATTCTGGTCATGTTGGACGCTTTGCCATGCTCCTCAAACATCCAGCCGTGGTAGGAGAGCAGAGTCTTGAGAATCTGTCTCATCATGTAGATCAACGCCAGCCAGAGTACCGTGGCAAACAGTAACGCACTCATGATGTTTTGCCCCTGGTGTGACAGGCATCTCCTACAAACCCAAAGGACCAGGCATTAAAGACAGCACACTCAAAACAAGGTTTATCCTAATAATATATAATAATCCTTGCATTTGATACAGTGTCTTATCACTTCTTCGACGGGCCAGTCATACATTCGAGAGTCTGCCATGCCCTCGTAAATACCTACAACAATCCTAACACTTGAATATAGTGCCTTAAAAAATAATATAAGTTTGATCACTTAATCCACGCCTGTTTGTGGGACACTGCAGTGCGCAATTTGCTGTCGTGTTTCGCCCACAAAACATAGGGTCAATTCATTTGACAGTCTCTCCTGTGAAGCGATTTGAGACGTCTAGAAGATGTGATAATGCGCTTTATCAAATGCAAGGATTATTATTATTATTATTATTAATCAAAACTAATCAAAGCGCCACACAGGTAACTGCTGCCAAGTGCAACCTTCTCTTTTGAATGCGGAGTCCCGAAGCATAGTGGTTAGAGCACTTGCCTCACAAGCGAGTTCGATTCCTGGGTGGGGCGAACCCTGAGGCAAGCTTCCTTACTCCACAACTACGCCACGAGCAACATGTAGGAAGCTGGCTGTTAGTGGATTGGCAAATCGCTTTCTGTGGTTAATAATCCCTCCCCAAAACTAAATAATACAGTCAATGACTGTTTGTGGGGCATTGTTGTGTGAAATTGGCTGCTGTTACAAAGATCTACAACAACTTGGATTTATACAGCGCCCTCCACGCCGGACGGCGTCTCAGAGCGCTTTACAGTTTGGGATCCCGGGACCGAGCCGGAGGGAGGGAGGGGGGGGGAAGGTGACCAAAGGCGCGGTCGAAAAGAAAGGAAAAGAAAAGAACATCTACCATCAAGCAGACTGAACAAGGGATTGTTTTTCATCAACTTAGAATATATTGGGTGGTTTCAAGGCAGTTTTGGCCAGGACAGTGTGGAAACGTGCCAGAGATTACAAAACCCACCAAATTCCTTTTGCAAACAAGTGCAGGCCAAATTGTTTGCAGTGGCAAGCTGCTGTGCACAATTTTTTTTCTGTTTGAGCAGCTATTGGGGAGCACATACATTTGCCAAAGGGCAGAGTACAATAACAGAGCGGACAGGCAGAGGTTATCAAATGCACAATAAAGCCAACACGACTTTGAAACTTCTCTATCCAGTCCACTTGAACACTTTACCTCATTGCCCCATAATAATAATTTGGTCACTCAATCCACGGCTGTTTGTGGGATACTGCTGTGCGCAACTGACAGCCAGATTTCGCCCGCAAAAGATAGTCGATTCATTTCACAATCTGTTCTGTGAAGCGCTTTGAGACGTCTCGAAGAAGACGTGAGAAGGCGCTGTATCAAATGCAAGGATCATTATTATTTACTGTTATAATTCTCAGAAGGTCAAGTACTCACTTTACGGGGAGGTGTTCCTTAATCTTGCCGATCATTCCCATTGAGGGATCTACCCGGGTGTACATTGTGCCGACAACAGTCAAGGCCACAAACAGCCAGCTGGACGGGCTGGCAGGGTACACTCCTGTCACAATATTGTTCTGCCAAGAGAAAGAGTGGGGGGGGGGGGGAAAAAACAGAAGAGTTATAATTCCACTTGCCCAAGGCTGGAATACCATGCCGTACTGTGGAGACCGGTAGCGTAGTGGTTATCATGCTCGCCTCGCAAGTGAGAGGACATGGGTTTGATTCCCTGGGCGGAACGAAACTATCAGCAAGTTTCCTTACTCCACACACGCACACGCACGGGCGCGCGCCTCTGTTTACCCAGCAGTAAGCAGCAACCCGGCTAGTCGATGGACCGGTTGCTTTCTGGGGGGGTAATAATCCCTCAAAAATAAAAATGCGGTCACTCAGTCCACAGCTGTTTGTGGGAACGCCGCTGTGCACAATTGGCTGCCGCATTTCGCTTACGAAATACAGTCAATTCACTTTTTACGGTACATTCTGTGAAGCGCTTTGAGACGTCTTTGAGAGGTGATAAGGCACTATACGGAACTCAAGGATTATTATTGTTGTTATACACGTTCACGTCAAGGTTTTGACCACTTTGGGATAGATAGTAATAACAATCGTTGCATTTGATACAGGGCTATATAACGTCTTCCGGACGTCTCAAAGCGCTTCACAGAATACACTGTAAAGTGTAGTGACTGTGTAGATTGTGGGCGAACCGCGGAAGCCAATTGCGCACAGCAGCGTCCCACGAACGGTCGTTGGATTGAGTGACCAATCTGTTATTTTTTTTAATGGCTTGGAACACGAGCTCCCGGCTTACCCTGATTCTGGCACATCTCTTCTTCCAAGCTCGGACCCCCGAGAGGTAGATCTCTTTTAATGCCTGGTGACTGAGCTGGAGGTCGATGCCCTCTGGAGTGACAGTGAACTGAAATGCCACGGCCTGATGAGCTTCCGCCATGGTCTCACGCTACCCAATCACCTGCAGACGGGCAGGGGGAGTAAAGGGAAGAGGGGGAAAAGGAACATACATAAGAACTGCTGGACAAAAAAAAGTCCATCTCGTTGGCCTTCCTGGCGGTCACTTGCACAAATGTCCCGAACTACCTATGTCCTATATCCCATCATGTTAATTAGCTAAAAGAACACGGTTTAACCTGTGTCTGAGAGGAATCAACACTTCCTACTTCAACCGTCTCCTACGGGAGCCTGTTCCACAGGTTTGGGGTTCGACAGATTTGCATCGAAATCGTCCACAAAATACACAGTCAATTCACTTTACAGCAGATTCTATTGTCCAGCTAAGACCCCCCCTTACCCATTAGAGCTTTGACTTGCAGGGTGAGTTAACACGAGCTGAGCGGAATGACTCCGTGCCCCTAGAAAACTAAACAGGACTGCAATAGGCACCGGGGGTTTACGAAATCCGGCAGCCGTTCGCTACTGGGTACTTAGGCACCATTTCGTTTGACTTCTTGGCGGTAAAAATGAGTTCGGAGCAGAGAAAGTAGAAGACAAGAAGGACAAACTCCTCCCTTTTGTCACCAGCGGGTCTTCAATTGTGTGGGTGCAAGTACACACACACGCACACACACACGCATCGCGCCATAACACTCCCCAGAATATGTCACAAACAGTCCAGTCTCGCTCAGAGGCCACGGGGAAGGAAGGCTCGCGAAGGTGGGGAAATGGGAAACATGAGGTTTCGGGAATTAGAAAGTGCTACGATTTGACGCAAATCACTAAGCCGGATAATAACAACAATAATGAGAATATTCTTTGCATTTGATATAGCGCCTTATCGCATCGTTGAGACGTCTCAAAGCGCTCCACAGAATACACTGGCAAAGGGAACTGACTGTATACTTTGACCTACTTACTGCTAGGCAAGGAGGTGTGTGGAGTAAGGAAATTTGCCTAAGGTTTTGCCCCGCCCAGACATCAAACCCAGGTCCTTTCGCTTGCGAGGCGAGTGCTCTCACCACTACAGACTTCCTTTACCGGTAGTTTCACCCTCACCTCTACGAGGACACGAATGATTGAAAGGAGTCAATCGTCGAGTCCTGTAGCTCAGTGGTTAGAGCACTCGCTTTGCAAGCGAGAGACCTGAGTTCAATTCCAGGCAGAGGGCGAAACCTTGGGCAAGTTTCCTTACCCCACACAGAGCCTAATAATAATCCTCCAAAACCCAAAACAATAATAAATTGGTCATTTTCAATCTACGACTGTTTGTGGGACATTGCTGTGCGCAATCGGCCGCCGCGTTCGCCCACAAATATACAGTCAATTCACTTTACAGTATATTCTGTGAAGCGCTTTGGGACGTCCTCCCGACGTGAAAAGCGCTATATCAAATGCAAGGATTATTATTATTATTATCATTATTATTATAAAGACAACGAGAAGAGTCAACTTTCATTAGTTTCCACCCATCGGAGAACAACCCTAACAAGTCCAGCCTGGTTTACTCGCTCGCTCACTCATGTTTTGTTTCGTTTTAACAACGGCAGACCTGACCTCTATATCGTGCACATACACGAACACAAAAGATTATATTATGCCACGGTTCACAATATCAGTTGACCACAGCCGTTTTTTCCAGATCAACTGAACTTTTTCACGTGTGCGTGTGCATATGTGTGTGTGTGTGGGGGGGGGGGGGGGGGGCAGTGGGGTGGAGAGGAGGAAAGGGTTGTGTATTAAGAATGACGAAAGAATTTAAGACAAGCAGCAAATCGACCGGCCTGTGCCTCAAGCTGGCAGAAGAACATAGGAAACCAGGAACAGAGGGGAGGTTTTGCAGCAAAAGTTGTATGAAAATATTCTATTAGGGACAGAATTTAAAACTGCCCCCACCCCCCGACACTCGTGCGAGTGAGCGTGTGTGTATGTATGTGTCTGTGTGCGCGTCTCGGTTTCTCTGTGCACGTGTTGTGCTGAGGATGGAATGGGGAACGGGTTGCTGTGTGTGCACGCGTGCCTTTGAATGTTCTGATGGGTTTCCGCATGCGTCGTACTCCCTCGGCTGACCCCCCCCCCCACCAAAAAATGTTCAACAGTCTTTTTATAGCGACGTCAACTGCGCCTGACAACATTCCTGCTTTGATTGCATGACTCAACCTTCTTCCATCGAAGACGAGTGCGGTTGGAGAGTCTTTTCCTGCTGAACAGCCCCAAGCCCTACTAAGGAGTATAATAATAATCCTTTCATCTGACACAGCGCCCTATCACGTCTTCAAGACGTCTCAAAGCGCTTCACGGGATGTACTGCAAAATGAACTGACTGTATGTCGAGTGGGTGAAACGCGTCAGCCAATTACTCACAGCAGCGTCCCCACAAACAGCCGCGGATTGAGCGATCGCAAAACCTCTTCTGAAAGACAGAGACACAAAGACTGCTGTCAGTCATTGCTTTCCCTGCAACGTTACCACACACCCTGACCGCACAGCACAATATGTTCAGAACATCCCACATGACTGCGGGTCACAAGGTTTTATTTTGGGCAACGATAGCCACAGAAAACAAGGCCACAAATCATGTCCTTCTTTGAAAAAAAACAACACGTCAGATCGATTCGTGGGGGTCTTGCTATAAACAGCGTGATCCTGCGAGACGACCTGGGTTCGATTCCCGCGCAGAGCAAAATACTGGCGCGACCTGATGATGATGGGGAAAGTAGGAAGGGGAAAGGCGGAGGGATAGAGGAAGAATTTCGGGGCGTAGAGGTTGAAAGCACAGCCACCGAGGGTGGGACGGAGGGCACGGGAGACGAGCAGGAGGCCAGAGCCCGTCGAGCGGAGGCAGCAGGCAGTGATTTTAAACCCTATCTAAGCCCCTGATCATCTTATACACCTCCATCATATCCTAATTTATCTATTTTACTCTTAAGTGGTGATCAGCAATGGTTCATTTAGCAGCAGGAACTCTGACCTTGCTAATCTTGCCTCGTCCCAGAACAACGTCCCACAAGCAGAATCGCACGTGTGCTGGTAATTAAATTACCATCAGAAATCCCCCCTCTCCCACCCTCACATTCGACAGAGCATTTCATGTTTGGGTGGCTTCTCAAAGCGCCCATAAGCTATACCGCAAAGTGGTCGAGCGCGGCAGCCAAATTGGACACCGCACTGACCTTCAAACAACCATGAGGCGAATGACCAGTGTTATCTGGGGAAATTGTTGGCCAGGGTACAGTTCTCTTTTGCTCCTATCAGTACGTTCTGATCAGTACAAACCCCTCATGGTATTATAAATATGATGGTGGATGGTGGAAGGCGAACTGGATGGACCTGGGTCTTCCTTCAGCAAATTCTTTTCGAATAGTTCCGAATAGGATCTCAAACTTCCGCCCGTACAGGCAGACGGTTAATGCTCGACCGAAGGATGGCGCCTCCAACAACGCAGCGTTCCCCAGCATTGCATCGGAATGTCAGCCTACGCTATGTGAGTTTCCTGTTGCTGTACTCTCGTCTGCAAACATTCGCAGCCGTTATGCCAGACCAAACACCCTCAGTAAACGAAATGCGGTAAAGGGTTGGGTTTCAAAGTCCATGGCTTGGTTGTGAAGCAACTGCTGCTCCTTATTTTCTCCCCCGAGATGAGTAGATTAACAGATTACCAATACCACCTCAGAGATCAATCCATCCATCTTCCAAGGATTAAACATTAAGCGGAACTGTGGAATGATTAACATTGCCCTGCACAAGCAAAGCAAACCTTCCAGGAGCAATGTTAATGCCATCTCCTGAACCACACACACAAGCCATCCTCAGAGCGCAACAACAAAGGGGTATAACACTACATTTGTTCTGGTGCATTTCACATCAGAAGGATGTGTCAAAGTGCTTTGCAGGAATTACTGTCAAGCGTAGGTTTACCAGGCAGGCAGTGCAAAACCTTAGGCAAATGTTCTTACTCCACACGCACACGCACACGCACGCACACACTCACCTCTGTTTACCTGGCAGTAAGTAGGGAAACTGGTTGTTAACCAATTGGCGGATCGCTTTCCGGAGAGTAATAATAATCCCTCCAAACTAAAAATAATTGGGGCCACTCCATCCACCACAGTTTCTGGGTCACTGCTGTGCGCAACTGACTGCCCACAAAATACACAGTCAAAATCTCTTTCCAATACATTACATCACATCCTGAGGTGTCTCAACGACGTGAAAAGGCACTGTATCAAATGCAAGGATTATTATGGTTATTATTATTATTATTATTAATAATTAATTATTATTTCAGCGCCTTGGGATGTCCTCCTGACGTGAAAGGCGCTTTATAAATGGAATCTTGTTGTTGTTGTATTATTATTATTATTATTATTATTATAACATAACCGTGCCTCAGGCTGCAGTGAAGTTAACTACACCCCATCGTTCTGCAGCTCAAAACCACAGCACTGAAAAGACTTTGCTTGCCAAAAGGGCAGGGCCAGTCAGCTATGCACGAAAGACACACACACACACACACACTATAACGTTGACACAGCAGATGACGCCAAAACTAGGTGAGAGTTCGCCGCGAGAGCCGGGGAAGAGAGAGAGAGAAAAAAAAAAGCACTTACTTTGAAGAGGAAACCAGAAGGCTTTTTTTTTTAAAAAAAAAGTATAAACCGCAGATGCTACTGGGACGCAGCTGCACTTTGCGCGACTTGTCGCTACCACGAAACAAGCAAAGAGGGAAAGGGGTTGTCTTTCCACACAACCGCCTCCCAGGCCCACAATCTACTGTACAAAAATACAGCTTAATAAATCCACACACACACACACACACACGCGCACACGCACGCAACTCGAATCTGCCGGCAGCTTCCACGTTTCCGGAGCTATCTCGCCCGCCGCAAACACAACTCGATAGGTAGTGTAACGCGTTACTAACGCACTACTCCCTCCCTCCCTCCCTCCCTCTCTCTCTCTCTCTCTCTCCCCCCTTCGAGCCCAAGCTTGGTATTTCTCTCAGCAGGATCACAGCGCAGTTCGGAGTAAAGTGTGGGTGTACAGCGGAGAGATGGCCTGTGAGCACATACACACACACACACACACACACACACGCGCGCACTACCCCCACCTCACTCACTCACTCACTCACACACACACACACCCCTCAGAGGTATTTTCCGTCTATATTTTGCAACGAGCAGCGACCTACTGAAAACCGTATCGACCTCTCTTGCACGAGCTCTCTGCGGCTCTGTTCTAAATCAAGCTCGTGGTGAACTTTGGGCAAATATTTTTAGCCCCGGGGCACACCCGAGAGAAGGTGGAACCACATCGCTCCTCCGCGCGCAAAGGCCACCGCCAAGTTCACTTGCGTTTTTTATTTATAATCTACATCTATATCTACATCTAAATAAATGTTTTTTTAAAAAAAAAAAAACCTCCCTGCTGCAAGCAAGCAAAACTTTCCTCGGAATGCATCACTTTTTCCTGGTGGAGTCGAGAGCTAGGACTTTTGTGGGTTTTTTTTTTTTTTTTCCTTCGCGTGGGTTTTTCGGGCTAAACCACATAGCTCTTGCGCTGGAGAAATTAATCTGTCGCCAGGCATGAAAAAGCCTGTACTTAGCAACTCCCTCCCTCTTAGACACACGCACAGACAGACAGACAACAGAGACACACACAATAGACACAGAAACACACACACACACACACACTCGGAACGACTTGGCTGCGAGCGGAAAGAGAGGAATTAGTGGGAGAAACGCTTAAATTCCACCACTTCAACAAGGATCAGTGTTCACTTCGTTAAAGAAAAAAACAACACAACCGCCCAAACCCAAATTGCTGCTTATTGCACAACCAGGGCCGGCAGATTGTTCATCGTAGAACTCTCTCTCCTCCAAACTCTGCCCCCAAAATGCGGCACGCAGACCGGACCGTGCAGGAGAGCGGTCCACGTGGCTCAAGTTTGACTGCCTGGTCTCGAAACAAATCCGTGCTATAAGCGCAAGTTTCCTTACTCCACACAGAGCCCTAATAATAATCCCTCCGAAACCCAAAACAGTAATAAATTGGGTCATTTTCAATCTGCGGCTGTTTGTGGGACATTGCTGTGCGCGATCGGCCGCCGCGTTCGCCCACAAATATACAGTCGATTCACTTTACAGTGTGTTCTGTGAAGCGCTTTGGGACGTCCTCTCCCGACGTGAAAAGCGCTATATCAAATGCAAGGATTATTATTATCATTAACAGGCAGAAGCGGTCAGGTTTGCGCAATAAGACCACAGCATACAATTTCCCTCCCTCCAAGAGACATATTCTACCTGGCGTGACGCTTCCTCTTACCTCCGCCTCGCCTCGCCTCGCCTGGGTGCGCGCTCTCGGGAGAAGTAAAACACGGCAGCAAAAGGGATAGGATGAGGCAGGCACACAGTGAACACAAAACCGTGCCTCCCTCAAGTCAGGTTTAACCTGTATGAGATGAGAACGCTTCGCTGTCAAACTGGGCGGCCCGGGACCAAGGAGAAACGGCAGAGGCTCGGCAGGAAGGAGTGGCAGAGCCGACTTAATAACCTCGTTCCCTGAATTCCACGTTGAAGCCACTTTGTTTGACAATAAAAGTGAAATCACTTTCGCTGCAGGTGACTGTAGCGGCACACAGAGTCGCTCATGACCTGGGCTGGGAGAATGTTTCACAACTCTCAAGGTCAGGTTGTTTGCTGTCGGCATACGCACACCCCACACAATCACCCACCCACACAGCCGGACGGCACAGTAGCAGTGCAAAGCTATTGATTTGAAAATAGCTTCTGTTACCCATTTACGGCACACGGAAGGCAATTGCTGGTTTAACTATTCAGTGGCTGCTTCAACTCCAGGCAATCTATCCAGTGAGTGGGAAATGATTGTCACAGCAACCCGGAGCCCCTCACGCACCGTAGCAACCTGGAGCGCCGCTCCGAACCGAGGGGTTAGGGAGCTGACCGTAGGCACGGTCGAAGGGGAAGGTCTTCAGACACGGTCTGAAGATGGGGAAGAAAGGGGGCGAGGCGGAGGGGATCAGAGAAAGTGCGAGAGAGTTTCGGGCTGTAGTGGCTGAAAGCGGGGCCACCGATGTTGGGGGGTAAGCAGGTCGGAGAGTTGGGACGTGCCAGGGCATGAAGGAGCTTGAAGACGAGCGCGATTACACCCCAATCCTGGATCTACAGAGTAATAAACCGTCTAATAGATCTCAGCATCAGATTTTTATCACATATTTTAAGCTCTGGACTCCAGCGAAGATTCCCTCTATCCATTGGTTCCTCCACACTCCTACAAACCCACAGCTCAAGCACATGAATCGCAAGACGACCCATTGCCAACAGCAATACACTCCCTGGGTAGATGATTGACTGAAACCTGTAAACTGACACTTACTGATACGATTACTTC